TAGACTATATTGCAGAGGCTTTGTGCGACGCTTGTGGACTGATAGACAGAAGCTACGGAGGCTACTGGCTGGAAGAAGAAAAGGAAGAAGAATAAGCTGCTAGCATACAGGGGCGCTCTCAGAGGCTAGACTGAAGAGAGAAGAAAGAGAGAGAGAGAGCTCTGGAGCGAGGGGAGAAGAAGAAGACTGGGGCACATGACCATGTGTCATGTGCTCCTGAGGTCAGATGACCCCAGGACAGGGAACCCAGTCTGACATGGACTTATGATATTCGCAGGACCATTAATTAAGTTGTTGTGTATATATCTAATGGGCTCAGGTAGAATCGTAAAGTTTCGAAGTATTCAATGAACGACGTGGAAAGAATCGTTACTATTGGATAGAATGACGAAGCTTGTCATGAGCCTACCGATCAAAGAAAAAGGGTGCGTCGATTTAAATAACTAAATATGAGAGAGGAAAGGAGAAAGAGAGAGAGAGATCTGAGAAGGGAAGACCTTTTTACTCTCTAAGTTATGGGGTCTAGTCTGAGGCCTCTTTCTATCTCTTCTACACTTGCCAATCATCTGATGTTGAAGCATATGACTCCTGATCAGTTAGGTGACCTCGTAACACGTGACTCGTCTAGCACGTGACAAAGCCCTAGAGATACTAACGATACTAAAATGGATTCTCCATCTTAGGAAAAGCCTAAGATAGGAATAACAAGTTGCTAGATAAAATCGACAGACTTATGGAAATACCGACTGACTATAGTACAAAGCTGCATCTTTATACATCGCATAACTAATAGATCGTTATTCCAGTACCACATCCAGGGCTTATTTATCTCACATTACCCCTAAATACACCCTTCTAAAGCTTCTACACTATATTAGGCAACAGATAGAAACTTAATTATTTCTTAGTTCAACTACTGGCTAACACAGAAAGACAGAGCAGAAGGAATCAAATTAAATACCAACTAACTAAGAATTAAAAGCAGAAAGAGAGAAGAGAACTAGACTAATGAACTAGGAGGACACATAAACATTCCCTTATATAGCATTAACTAATAATCACTATATCAAGTAATTTCTGAGCACCCTCCACGCTCATATCACTAGGTAAAAGATCAGAAACGCTATCTAAGATATAGATTATTTCTTAATAACCACTTCCACCTTACATATCTTTACTTCTTTAAAAATAGCCGGCTAGTCCTCTCATTCGATAACTCCCCATCACCGTTTTCAGTATATACAATTAGATCGTGATTCTTCGATCGAGTATATATCAAAGAAATAACACTATAGATCTGCAGTATCACTATAAAATTTACTTCCGCAACAGAGATGAGGACAAATGACAACAGTAGAATTTCCAAATAAGCTCAGATGGTTATCAATATAGTTAAGGAGACTAATTTTATTCAACCATTAATTAAACCTTTCATCACTACCCTTACTATCATCGCCCAAACAGAAAGAATAAAATCCAGACCAAACAAGAGTACTTCAATAAATAAACATCCTATATCTAAATTTCAGATTTTTAAGATAGACCTCACAATAAATAATCCATTCCTCATTATCATAGATCAATTTAACACACAGATAGCAAAACTAAACAAAGTTACAATTTACATAGCAGTAAACACACTTATTATTCCTATAAACCTGTTAATATAGAGCCCCATTTTACAACTTGCATTAACATTAAAGGATATATTTAGCTCGTCCAGGCAGCAATATACTTCAATAGAGTTAGTCAATTATATCATAAGATTATTATCTACTAACGTGCTTTTTAACATACCTAGACATCAACTCAGAGCATATTAGACAAAGACCATCCACAAGCCCAAGACCAAGATAGTAAACCACGCGCTCTCCCGGCACACAAATAGCAATCAGATCCGAAAAACACTACCTACCAATCTCACTATCAATTATTACTTCTTCAAAAAGATTTCAGCTCAAACAATCTCACTCTAAAAGATATTTTCGGTAAATATCAAAAAGAGAAATCAAATCTCATTCAGAAAAGTCATTTCCCGATATATATTCATCATAAAACGATAACCACCATTACTTAGATAGTTTATCTTAATACTTTCACCGTAACTTTGCCTTTCGGCCGTAAAAAGTAGATCGCTCCTTAGTAAGAAGAGGATATTAGTCAGGTTTACCATTAATCTTCCAGATCAAAATCTTAATTTAATCATCCAATCTAATAGTTTCAGAGTCCCTTTCAAATTCAATAATTCCAGATACATCCAGGCACAGCGGGACGTTAGTATCCCGATAATACTCCATACTTTATTACATATCTCAACCTTCAACATTCACCTCAAATCCACAAAATACAGCTTAAATATCCACAGCCTTTAGTTTTACTTAGTATTTAAGGTATATATTTAGATTTTAGTAGTCCAACGCTTAGCCGCAAACTACTTCAAATACCTTAGCTACTCATTATTAGTATATCAAGCCCTTAGTTATAAAGAATATATCCGCTACACTAACGATCAAATCTATTAGCAATACCTCCCCAAATTCCATAAATATATAATTTATCCCTAAAGCCATCTCTTTCCGCTAAACTTCCGAAATAATAACGGAGTAAAACGAATATTAAGCCCAAGATAGAATCGGGTCCATCACATATAACCATTCTAAAAAATAGTTACTACAAAGACTCCTCCTCCCATTCCAATGTAAAAGAATTCCTATAGACAGACAATCTCACTACAAAAACATCATCAAAGATCGTAAGATTTTTAAAAGCACCATCTACAACCCCATATACAATAACCCAAAATACAAAATTCAACCCAAACCTAGGATACTCATTAAACTAATTTATAAATCTAGATTACCTAACATTAGTGAATTTTCCCACAAAATTATAAACATAGAGAGACTTTTAGCCCTAAGGTAAACAAATTATAACTCACATCTTAACATCATCGCGATAACACCACCCTTTTATAAACTCAGAGTTAACAAACACCCAACAAATCAGGCTCTTCCTATCGTCACTCCATTTCATATGAAATTTGATATACTATAACACTAAGTAAAATACTTAGAGAAAAGAGTTTCAGATTTTATATAAACCTTATAGTAAAGACATTCATTTATCCCTCAATATAAGCTTGATTCCACAATAACACCAACTTTAGCTCCAGATCCGACAAAAAGTAAGAGTACACTTACTATCTAGACACACATTCTTTCATATAAGTAATTATGCCAATCGTTAACAAATAGTCTTTAGGATAGATATTAAATATCTTTATAATTAACATAAAACATATCATAAGGCTTTATAGCCAGATTATATTTATAGGTGAGTATGGTTTTAATAAACTAAAAACCCTTAATTAGCAAAAATTGGATATATAATAAAGGGAGTATCCTAAGGTCTCACATTACGGACATCAAGTATTATCTGAGGCAGAATTCGCTAAAGGGTTTTACAATACCACTTTAACACGAAATTTGAGAAGACATTAGAGATCAAGTTTTGAGAGGGAACATCCTTTCTTAAGACCACAAAGCTTTCAATAAAGTTCTTTAGCTCTTATAGAGTGGGAAGATAGCTATCTTTAGAAATCACTGCCTCATTTGCCTCGCTACAAGAAAGCTTAAATCTTTAGATAGTAAGTCAATATCCATTATTAAAAGAAATATATAGCTCTTTCACTCACAAACTCCAATACAGCGTAGCAGTATCATGTTTGGCATATGTGACAGGCGCAAGTGGTTTATGGCAGACAATGTTCTCTGTCTTTTCAAAATTATCCTAGTACTCTTTAGTAAAACCACGAGATTAGATACATCGCTAGTACTCCTTAAGCCGACGGCTTATGTCTTTACTGAGTTCCATGATGATTTTATGAAATAAATATGAATTCCGAATGTTTAGTTGGTAGATTGAAAAATAGCCCAATATAATCTCTTTTATGTGGTGCTCAAGAACGCTAAGCCTTTTACCCCTCTCACCTTCCTCACCTTCCTCACCTTCTCTATCTATATTCTTCTCACCTCAATCACCCTTGACACCCAAATCGCCCGCACTCACCCTAATCTGTTAACGCTCGCTGCTTTAAATCATCAAGGCTTCTATTTTATTAATCTTACTTTAAGATGTGGCTTAAGTACGGCTGAGCGGACGGGAAGCCCTGTTTTCCACACCCTGTGGTCGTATGTGGGAGCAACGTAGATGAGACAATTCATATCCCAAGGTCAAAGACACTCTTTACCTTGATCAAAGTTAATTCAATTTTCATCTTGGATGGTCAGGACTTCAGTCATCACCAGAAGAAAAGTGAAGATACTGATTCTTTTACGACGGGAGGGCCCCCAAATCCGGAGTCCGGGTGGACAAGAGCGTGTCGAATATGTCCATGGATATATTTGCAGCGACACTTCTACCTAGGTAGGTATATTCAGTTGTACCTAGTAAAATTACGAGGTCAACTGGTGGAACAACCTTGAATCCGAGGTCGTACAGAAAGCACATTACCTAAGTAATCAGCCGGTTCATGAACCTTGAAACGCTACCTACCTATGTAGGTAAGACCGTCTTCCAAGGTTATGTACACCTAGGTAAAACTGGGCGTTCCCGGGGGCCCAACGGCCCCCCTGTCCTGGGCCCGGGTTTAGGTTGGGCCCCAGGATCTGAGCCCAGAGCCCGGACTGGGTTGGGCCGCCGGCCGGGACCCCGGGCCAAACCCAGCCCAATGTGGAAGTCTACCCTTGCCTCCCCCCCCTTGGCCTCAGGCACCACTTTTATTCTTCCCTTTGAGCTCAGATCATAATTTCCCACGCTACTCAAATTCCTAGTTCAGACCACCCCGCTTCCAAGGTTCTTTCATGGCATCTGAAGCCTCTGATCAACGTCCCGACGGGGTTGAACCGGTGGAACCTGAGCCGGGGAATTCCCCAAAACACAATGAGCTGGAAAGTTCATCTGAGAGTGATGGTGATGGAATGGAGGAGTTTACTGCGGTGATGGCAAGCATGAAATTGGATCAAGTCCCCGTCTATGCCTCGCAAATTCGAAAATCTCTCCAGCCCGACAACCCAGCAGAAGCTTTTATTGTGACCGAAATCGGGTCCCCGATGTTTGGCTCGTTTAACTTGCTCTATCCAGTGATTTTCGAGGATGGGCTCCGCTGGCTCTTGAAAGTTCCTGCGACCGGAACTCCGGATCAGTTTTCTGATGCCGATGCCGAGTCTCTGAGGTCGGAAGCCTTGACAATGCGTCTACTGCGCAAGGAGACAATCATCCCGCTCCCTGACGTCTTTGCTTTCGAAAACTCATGCGAAAATCAAGTCAACTGCCCATTCATTCTCATCAGCTTTATCGAAGGGAAAAAGTTGAGCGATGTCTGGTTTGACAAGACCTCGCCAAAAGACGTTGTTCATGCGCGGCGTACCCGATCCTTGCAGGACATTGCTGCTTCCATGATTCAACTCGACAAATACTCCTTTGACAAAGGAGGATCGTTGGTCTTCGACAAGCAAGATCAGCTCTCTGATATTGGCTCCATGCATTTCACGGATAGTGCTGCTATGTTAAAACGTCTGATAAATAACGATCCAAACGAGTCGCCTATCTACATTGAAGCAGGACCCTTCTCGGACCCGAAGGCGTATTACACATGTCGTCTAGATAACCGCGGAGAGCAAGGAACAACCTTTGAAACTGGCGAGCTTCACCTTCTCCGGATGTTCTTTGACTCGATGGAAGAGCCCTGCGATGGACGAAAGCCATTTGTCCTTGAACATCCAGACTTCGATATTCAAAACTTCATCGTTTCCGAAGAAGGGGAGCTGCTAGGGATCATTGACTGGGATGGGGTGTGCCCCGTGCCCCGGACTGTGGGAAATGAGAGATACCCTGGCTGGCTGACTCGCGATTGGGACCCGACGGTATATGTGTGGAACGAGGATATGGAGCATGGGATTAAGCCCGACGGTATCGTCTGGGAAGACTCGCCTGATTCACTGAAACTCTACCGATCTGTGTATGCTTCGGCTATGAGGACTCACCAGCATAATGAGGCAGGAACTACCACTGCTACACTCACCACCAACTCGCTCATCTACGAGAACTTGCTTATTGCTGCAGGTGAGCCGCTCTCTATGAATGAAATCGTTTTGAAAGTTTTCAAAGAGATTGCTGCACTCGTGCAAGAAGATTTGCAGCAACAAGCGGAACAGAATAATGAAAGCGAAAATGAAGAGGACTTCGACGTCTTCTCGGTTCTCGAAGCACTTGGTGAAAATCGACTGAGCGAGAATTACCGAAAGGTTTTGATGCGTGGTATTCAAAAGCTTGTCGAGGGCAGTGCTGAATTATAGGGACTCTCGGAATATTATGCTCGACGGCTTCATGGGTGATATTTCAAGTCTACTGTTCGTCATTATGTATGTTGGTACAGGGCCACCGGTGGGCCATGGGCGGGGTGTCCATTGACCATTTGATGGCTCATTACCTAGTAGTCCATTAGGCTCAATTCTCACACGAAATATCACATCATTCACTTCATTCCGGTAGTCCTGGATTTTAAAGGGGTTTTCAATTTGTGCGATGTTTACAATAGAGAAGGTTTGCGGAAATAAATGAAATCTATCACATGCAGTTTGGCTTGAGAAACTGACGATGAGGATTTGGGACTTCCTAGATCCCGAGACCATCCTTCCAAGTTGTGGTACGCAGTGCTATGCTGCGACAATGTTCGGTCCAAATAGATAAGTACACGAATCCCTTCCCTCAGCCCTCCATCTCGCCACCTGGGAAGTCTTCCTCTCCTGCTCAGCGAGCTTATTGGAAGGATCTGTTGTTGCTCGCTCCTCGGCAACCGGCTTCTCCACCTATCCAGCGATCTGAACGGGTGTCTCTATCAGCCATTTCGGCCATTTGCTGTGCAGCTTTGCGGCAAACTGACGCAGTTGCCTCTGTAAGCATCCCATCTGTTGCTAACGAACGGAGTCTGCTTTCCCAGAAATCCCACCTTTCACGGGACAGATCCCCTTTGCCCGTATAGAGTGGGCCAGGCAACAGGGTAATGGAATTGGGTAGATTGTCAAGGGAGCGAAAGAGCATATCCCTGGAATGTTCAATCCACTGCACGGCGGCGCAGATTTGACATTCAAAATATTCTTTCTTGTCAGATGGCTCGTGTTCAAGCGCGTCTTTGAAGCACCAGGTCGGTAGACGAAGCAGGTCTGCCAAGCCAGCCTGAAGGAGGCGCGCTGCAAATGCCTGACGGTTGATCCATCTCTCAAATTCAGTAGAGTTATCGTCGGTTTTGGCTCTTTTCGAATAGATTAGTCAAGAATTAGACATTAATTGAGTTGAACGTAGCTTACCTAAATTAACTTCGGTCCAATCTTCAGTTAAATAAGGAAGGTCGGTCCAAATCCGTAAAAATCCCTACATTGAAAGACAACATGTCAGTGTTGAGATTAATCATGCCAGCTAGAACGAGAATACCGATTCGCCTTGAGGAACTTCCACCGCCGGTAAGGCCTGAAGTTCCTTTAGAATATCCATAATTTTATCTTGTGAGGGATGATCATGAGGAATTTGCCTCGCAAGTTCGCCGAGTGTACTCCAAAACTCCAACAAGAAGCTTGTTGCTTCTTCGACCTCTTCGCCATTTGTCTCCCGAATTTTTGGAGTGAGCTGGTTTATCCTAGCGGCAGCTTCAGCAGCGGAAAGCTGGCTACCTGGCTGCAAGCAGTCGTTTAGGATCGTGAAATATTTCTGCTCAATAATCCATGGATCGTCATCAAGAGATGAAAGGTGTAGGTGAAGAGGTGCCGCCATCACTCTGAGTGCGAAGGAAAAAAGAAGAAGATTGAACTGAAGTTTCAAAGGTCGCATCTCCCGAGTCGTAGGCTTTGGCACTACCCGAGGTTCCATCAACGCGCGCGCTTACTGCTACAGACCCTTGTCCATGCCCAGGTGGACATTTATTTCTTGCATACCTAGGTATGATTGGCTTAGCAGATAAAACATTTAAAGTGATATGTCTTAAACCTTAGGGACCGAACTTGGAAGGGTGGGATTGTTATTCAAGTGTCCATACGGGGCGTAGAGTATCAATAAGAGGAAATGAGAAAACCGAAAAGGAGCAAAAGGAAAACAGATGGAACCAGCAAAAGGGGCAAGGAGAATAGCCTTCGGGCCAAACATCATCATATCAGCAATGACATGACAAGCAAGCACACATCGCTTCGCTTCATTCATGTCACACTGGGCTTCCTATCCTGTGGTCCCATGACCTCAGGAACACGTCTTCTTTCTCTCCCCTCGTTCCAGAGCTCTCTCTTCTTTTTTCTTTCCTCTCAGAGTGAGAGTGCAGTCCCTAGAGATCGCCCCCGCATGCTAGCAGCTTCTTCTTCTTCCTTTCTTCTTCCAGCCAGTAGCCTCCGTAGCTTCTGTCAATCGATTCAACCTCGGTTTCAGGCTTTGGAAAGAAGTCTCGCAATTTCTAAACGGGAGTCATCCAGTTAGTTGAGGCTCCTAGAATCAACCGCTCCCAGTGGCCGTGGAAATGTGCACTTACTTTCTTGGCTTTTTCTTGCATAAAATAAAGCCTTGCTTGCGCTGTTGAGTTTGGTCATCATCTCTCCGATGTGATTTCTTGTATCAGAAACACTCTCATACGCAGTGTTCCACTTCACCAGAAACCTGATTCGGGCATTGGCCGCACTAGAAGTTGGATGAGTATTAGCAAAGTTTCGATGAAAGCCCCAGGGAGCACCCTGATGCGTGTCTTGGAATGGAGAGTATATACTCCAGGGCCACTTGTCCCCAATCCGTCGCCAGTTCTGCTAGCTTGTAATGATGCTCGTGAGACGAAAGATTGCCTCGATTTCGTTGAGCCATAAAAAACCTCACTCTCGGCTCTTTGATTGCATCCATCAGGGCGTGGTATTTGTCTTTTGCATCTTCCATTTCTTGGGTCCATTTGGCTGGGTCCTTCTGGTAGAACTTGGGATCGACCTGACCTAGCCATTCGTGCAATGTGTCGACTTGTCGGAGGTAATTGTCACGCTCCTGCTCCAATGGTATGAGCCTTGCCAAGATAGCGGCGGAAGTCATCGATGCGAAAATGGCGAGCGAGGGTAAATGGGAAAGGAAAGTAGATCTCCATAGCTTCACTTACTGAACCCTTTCTCACCAAGGGAAAAGGCAAACCCGAATGGCTAGAATCAAAAAAGTGAAAATAATCTGAAAGTAGCACCCTGGCCTAGGAAGTTGACCGTAGTTCAAGATCAAGGGAGCAGCGGGGTAGGACCTTCCGCTGAATCTCAACTTCACTTCCAACAACTCACTCTCCCCTTTCATCTCTGGAAATTCTGGATCTCGATCATACTCATCCTGCCTCTGCAATGTTTTCAATCAGTGACTTGGAAGCTCTGCCTCCTGAGATTCGGCGCCATCTTCTCGCCCTGATGGAATACGATGAAATCAAAGCCCTCGTTCATACATCTCCGGTATATCACCAGCAATACTTGCTGGACCGCAGATGGCTACTTTGCCGATGTCTGGACAACACACTGCGCAGGGTGAATATTGAAGCCATCCTAGTTTGGCAATCTGGCTCGGCCAGCTTTGCAGAGACTCGGGATCGGACTGCAGTCTCTGCTATTCTGAAAACATACCAAGAGCGCCGAAAACTACAATTCACCACTGACGATGTGACCCTCACACTCAATGATATCGTTGGGATAATGGTCTTCCACAACTCGGTCATCGTACCTGTCGCCAATCGGTACACTACTTGGGCGCTCGAAAACCTCGCCCAAGAAACCAACGGATTGACAGCCTTTGACCCGCTCAGCGAAAGCGAAGAGACACGTGTGATACGTGCGCTGTACCGGTTCCAACTGTGGTGTAATCTGTGCGGCCTGGGGCCGTATAGAAAGCTCCAGCCGTTTCGTTCCGAATACGGAAGTACCGACCTTCTCAAGATGCTTGGATCTTGCTTTGAGCCATGGGAAATTGAAGAAATTGTGTGTGTTTATCAATTCTCCGAGGCGAAGTACCAGCACGTACTGGACCAGATTTCCTGGGATGTGAATGAGAAGAATCCCAAATTTGAAGGCCAAAGGCCGGGGACGCCGGAGGGCTCGTTTAATCTGGAAGCTGATGGTTTGTCTACTCCGATCTACTGATAGCCTTTCATCAGAACTAATAGTTTTATCTTCCATCACAGACAGTATTCTCGTCGGGGCGATATCGCAGGGACTCGAGCTCCTACATGATGTCCTTTTTCGGATCACAGATCATACTGCTCTAGTATCATTCATGCAGGCCAATCTGAAACCCTTCCCAGGATGGTTCCTTGCGGATGATGTGCTTGGCGAGGCGGCTCAGACTGAGAGGCGCCAGGTTGAGCCTTCCGAGGAAGATTTGAAAGAGGCTCGGAGAGATCCACTGCTATCCCAACCTGCTGGAGTGCCAGACCCCGACAGTCTTTACCCTCCGTTTGCCTGGTCATTCATCTGGGGAGGAACGCACAGCAACATAACCGGCACATGGCTCACTATGTACATGGGGTCAAATGGACTTCAACACTGGGGGTATGTGATGTGGGATCAAGAGCGGTTGGAGAAGTTTGGTGCGGTTGAGGTCTTGACGAGGCAAATGACAGACGCATGGCGTGGAGAGGATCCACGGGATCTCGCATACTTATAGTCTCGGTTCAAGCAGTGACAAATATCATTAACTTGAATGATCAACTAAAGCTTCCTTGAATACCGCAACGCGACCAGACCTCTCAAATCTTCATCTGCAGGTAACCACACAGCTATCCAGACGGAAGGTGCGTGATGGCAGCCTGAGAGGACGACGGACCCGAAGGCCGGAGAGAGGAAAAACTACCAATCGTCTCGTCCGTACTTCGATAAAGTAGAAAGACTGCAAAGAGGCCGAGCGATCTTTCCCACTGACGCGTCGCCAAGTATTTCGTACCGGGCGCTTCGTTCAATGTCTTGGCCCTACCGCGAACGCAGAGCTGAGTCTTCACTGGCAATCAACATGAACGCCTGGTAGCACTCACCCTTAACGCAAGATGAATATATCCAAAAAGTGTGTCTTGATAGCACATGAGATCTACAGCTTAGACACTGAAGTTCTTGTCCATTACTCCGGTCCATATGGACCCATCCTGCATCATCGAGACTAGGAGCTCCAGACTCTCGCCTAGAATATTCACTAACCTCCAGCTCGTGTTGCCTTTGAAGATCTTCGTCCAGATCTGGAGAACAGACAGAGACAGTTGAAAGGGATCAGGCTCCGCGCTCGGTTGGTGAGGTTCAGCATTGGGATAAACAGGTGCCTCGGCCACAATGCGACTGGTCCATAACAAAAGACGCTGCTCACTCTCTAGGGGATCAATGATGATTAGCAATTCCCACGCGTAGATCAATTGATAATCGTTGGGAGACTTATGTGTCTTGTTCAAGGGCTGACTCACTGCTTAATGGATGGTTCTTAGTCTGTCCAATTTGACATAACCACCGACTGAGAAATACAGCACATTCCAAGCTGCAGACACATTGCTGAACACTCCAAAAGAAATGCTGACTTTTTGCAACAAAGTCAACACCTAGCTTGACTGGTATGCTGAGCGTATGAGCCGAGTGAAGCAGTGCCGGGATGATGCGAGAACTGCGATCCACGGCGGGAAGTTGAGCAAGAGACATCGCAATACGAGTCGGGTCACGGGAGCTCAAGGCTCGGTGAGGACCTAGATTGCAGACCAGGCGCACATAGGCTAAAGCCAGAAATGCCGTCGGAGTGAAGGGAATGGGCCCGCTCGGGTTATGGGGATCCAAACTGGACTCGGGAGCGCGCTGCCAGCCAAGCTTCCATCGGTGCAGTGCACACCTGTTGTAGTCGATGTAAGTAACAAGTCTGAACTTTCAGGCTTTGTTAAGTTGGGCGTCTCTCACTCTAACTGATCCCGTAGGCCATCGGTGCAGCCAGGAGGCGCCGCTTCAGTCACCTGATGTACCATGAAAAGGCGTTGTAAAAGGGCATGAATGAGAACGAAATTTCCGAGCGGCGATGCGAAGTATGTTTGAGCGGCGGCAGACTGGCAGGGTTTCATCAACAACGATGCTAATGCATCTTGGAAAAGTGATTGGTGGTCTTCGGTCGACCCTCCGTTTCGATGCCACTCAGCTGCAGTTTTGGCATTCCACTGCACGGAAGAGCAGGGCAAACGCAGGTGTATTTCTTCATTGAGAATTGTTGGCGGGATGTGATAAACAATGGCCTGTAGAGTTAGGTAACAGAACACCACTAGCTTGACCCGACGGTCACCTTCCGCGTTCGCCCAATCATGCCAACTCGTAGTAGCGATTTCCGGATTTTCTTTGAAGGTGCTCTCTCGCAAACAGCCCGAGAGTACTGTTTGGAGTCCGATGGCTTCACGCAACAGTTCGGGGTCATCGTCCCAGGTTGCGAATACGATGAGGAGCAAAAGAGCCCGGACGGTCTGTATGCGGCTCCACTTCCCCTCTTGGGTGAGGTTATATGAAGGTCTTGGCTTCAACGGATTTGCAATCCTTAAGCCGACTATCTTCTCAGAATACTTGCGAGTCCGGCGACGTGCTTGCTCCGTACACACGGCCTTGGCAGCATCAAATAAAGATAAACCTACATGGCTCTCGAACCGATACTGGGCACCAACGGCAGCAATGGCTAGGATGAATTCGGGGGCACATTCAAGAAGATTGAATGTAGGAAGATGTATAAATGGTAGATGGTTGTGGAAACCACCAAAGCACCCCGATATGAATCTAGTGAGCGCATGGCGGGAAGGGAGCACAAAGCCAGGAATCACCGCGTCGAATTGCTTTATGTTCTCAACCAAAAGTGCGTATTGAGATTGCGTCACATTACATTGGGGTAGAGACTGACTCAGACCGATGTAAGCGCCTGTTGAAAAAGACCCGGCATTTGATTCCTGTCATTCGTCGCGAAACAGAAAGACCGGGAGAGGTACTTGGCTCATCTTCGCCTACTCCAATAATCTCTTCATTGGTTTGAGGACATGGTGTATAAGTCAGCGATTGGGGTGTGTCAATAGTATGCTGATTGGATGACTGGCTTCCGGGGTTGACCAATTCCGAAGACAGGGGTGATTCTTGATAGTCTTCGATTTGAGGAATTTCGAACATGCTCCAGTCTGAATTGAGACCCATGGTGTCTGCAAAATCTCTGAAGTCTTGGACCGGGTCATAGAATAGACTACCTGCCATGTGAGCCGTGAAAGGGGTGCCTCTCTGATTGATGCTGGGTATAAAGCTTGACGGAGTTGGCGGGATTGGTCCAGTGCTCTGTACACATTGAACATCTTGGGGTGCATCGGACATACGTCCACTACACGTTGCCAGTGGAGATGGCGTTTCATCTGGATGTGAGCTGCTCATTCAAGTCCTGTCAGATCGAACTCAATAGTTTGATTGGTTATCTTGCCTTTTGGGGCGTTTGAAACGCTGATGACGCGTGAGAAGGTCGCGTCGCGTGAAGGAAAGACCACAATCGCACTTGAAAGGCCTTTCGCCGGTATCTTTCAAACAAATTAGCCCTTTAATCAAAAACACATCTGGTAATCGGCATGAAAAGGTCCAGGATGGGAGGTAACCGTACGGGTTCGTGCATGACGGTGAAGATGCTCAACGCGAGAAAATGTGCGAGAGTAGACTGAGCAGCGTTGTGACTCAGGTTGGCCAGTGGACATGATAATTAGGATTCTGTTTTGTTCTGTGAGAATCACAAACTCCCAAGACGTGTGGCTGAGAGGTGAGGAATTTCCGATGGGGGCGGGGGTGGGTCACTTTTGGGGGTGAGGCTCAAATTAATCAGCAGTCTTGGCAACCTTAAGCGCTGGAGGGCTGCATGGTTGACCAATGAGAGAGTCTGATCCCTCCTTGACCGTGGGTGCAATGGACCCACCCCCATCAGAGAGATCAAGCTGCACTACTTTTTTCTTTCCTTTTATATTTATCATCAAATGGCGATTTCTTCCCGAGATGCCGCAAGATACAATAAATATGTGACCTTGCCTTTTTCTAAAGATGCCGGTCAAGTCTATTTCCCTTCCACTTCGAGATGAGTTATCTCCGGGGCACTACTCTCCACACCCTGTGGCATCTTCTGTGCCCAGCGTCCCAGTTGTATCAATGGGATGAACAATGGTTGCTGGATAAAAACTCACAATCAATGATCTCAAGCACAGATGCCTCTAGCGAAGCCAATACTCCCACCAACCCAGACGACGCCAACCATCACGATCTAGAGAAAGGAGGCGATGCCAACAATCTTCCCAGCCACTCGCGCAGTGATGATACCTTCGAATCAAAGTCCTACCTCGTCGACTGGATACCTCATAATGATCCCGAGGATCCTCAGAGCTGGCCTCTATGCAAAAAGCTCTTCGCGTCATTTCAGATCTATATATATACCTTCACGATATACATGGGTGGAGCCATATTCTCGTCGAGCGAAAGTGGAATCCAACATGAATTTGGAGTCAACCACACGGTCTCTGGCTTGGGCTTCGCTCTCTACCTGATCGGCTACGGCGTTGGACCTTTGCTCTTTAGCCCACTATCAGAGATCCCAACTATAGGTCGCAACCCTCCATACATGATATCACTCATTATTTTTGTGATCCTCTGTGTCCCCACAGCCCTGACGAAGAGCTACGCTGGCTTATTGGTGCTCCGATTTCTCCTTGGCTTCTTCGGATCCCCCTGTTTGGCAACGGGCGGCGCCACCCTCGGCGATATGTTCCCCCTGACTAAGTTACCTTTCGCCATGTTGTTCTGGGCCATCGCTATGACCACCGGTCCGGCAGCTGCGCCTGTGATCGGAGGCTTTAGCGCAGTCGGTAAAGGATGGCGGTGGACTTCTTGGGAGATCCTCTGGGCAGCCGGTCCAGTGTGCATCCTCATGGTGCTCTTTTTGCCGGAGACAAGTGGCGCGACCATTCTGCATCATCGTGCCAAGAGGATTCGCGCACATACAGGCGATGAAAGATATTACTCTCATGGGAGAAGAATCAGAAGAAAACGACAGTTCGCGAAATTTCCTTCGAAGCGCTCGTACGTCCCTGGGTACTGATGTGCTTTGATCCCGTCATCCTTTACGTGGACATCTACAGTTCCCTATGCTACGCCATTTTCTACAGCTTTTTCGAGGTGAGAACAACTCCGCCTTCTCCAAAGCGCAATCTATCATCCGGAATCTAACCGCTGGACGTATAGTCATTTCCTCATGTATATGGTGAGATGTACGGATTCGCATCTGGACCGCAGGGGCTCCCATTCTTGAGCATCACCGTTGGAACTCTAGTTGCTGCAGTTGGGTATATGAGCTACAACTACTTCATCGTGGAGCGCCGAATCCACGCTGGCATTTCGCCCTCACCGGAGGACCGGTTATTTTTGGCTCTATTCTCAACACCTTTGATGCCAATCGGTCTTTTCATATTTGCATGGACTAGTCGGGCCGACATTCACTGGATTGTGAGCTGCATAGGTGTGGCAATCAATACGTGCTGGTTGATCACCATGTACCAATGCGTCTTCATGTATCTGCCTCTGGCCTATCCGCAGTACGCCGCCAGTCTCTTTGCTGGGAACGACTTCGTTCGATCTGCCATGGCTGGCGGCGCGGTTCTTTTCGGGCGACCTCTGTTCGCTAATCTCGGTGTTGGGAAGGGTGTTTCACATCCTAGGGGCTCTCGCGGCTGGACTTATCCCGGGTATCTATATCCTGTATTGGTATGGTGATTGCCTCAGGGTGCGCAGCTCATTTGCCAGTAGTTGAGCCGGCCATATTGGAAAGCTTTTCATCTTCACGGGTACGGAATTATTAATTTGGTATTCTGAATGACCTTGTATTATGGTAGGGGTACCTTGAGCCGATGAAATACAGTATTATGAGATATCCACAAGGCAACCTTGGAATCCAAGATCCGTCAAGGTGGGCAATGATGAAATAGATAAATGCGCAGTAGCAGCGATTGAAAGTACAAATTATGTAGTTGTACGTTGGCGTAATGGATATTCCGAAAGAGTAGTTGGTCAAGACAAGGGGATGCGACGGTGACTAAACGGTAGGCCACCGAGGGCAAGTCCCACAGGCCTCTGTGCCCCCCAAGCCGGGCTTTGTTGGGGGCCACGTGAACCCCTAAGCAGCCTTGGAACTTAGACATGCCAAGTGATGTCCTTTCTGCAGTGGGGTTTTCGCCTAACGTTTTGTTTTGTTTTTTTTCTGTCAGTATTGTAAAACAATATGTACCCATTTTCAACCCCATCATCTACCAAAGAATACCACTACAATAATCAACAAGGAGGATGTACCTACAAAACAAGATATTCTGCCTGGTGGGCCAGCAATAGGCTGCGAGTTGGGCGCTGAAGGTTGAGGCCTGAGGGGTATCTGCGGGCTTGGCTACTTGAAGCTACTGAACTTGTTTGCTTCCCTCACATCCCTGACCTCGTCTCCCACCTCAAATTCTTCAAACAAACTGCATGGGAGAATTGTTATTCCGCCTCCCCCTGTTCATCGCTTGGCAAATCTCACCTGGGGAGGTGTCTTGTCTTCTCGCATAACCCAATCCTCCCACGACCGGAGACCCCCTACAGCACAGAAATGGAACCAAAAGAATCAGACACCCAAGGCCTTGCCTGGGTTGAGAAGCCCTTCAGTCTGGAACCCGAGTGGACGGTGGAACTAGACCTTGAGGCTATCGAGCAAACGAGCAAGTCGATATATCCAGCGGCCAAGGCAATACAGGTGTTTTTTCTCGCCCAGGGGGCCCTCAACAAACTTTACGACGTGACCATAGACAATGAGACTTTCATTATGCGGGTTTCGCGCCCCGACGATCCATACTACAAGACCATGAGTGAAGTGTCAACTTTGGACTGGAAATCGCGTATTACAAGTATTCCAGTTCCCCGGGTCATCAGTTATCAGGCTTCGCGCGAAAACCCGATCGGATTTGAATGGATCGCCATGACCAAAATGCCTGGAAAGCCCTCGAAGGAGGCATGGCGCTCTCTCCCTTGTTCTGCGAAGGAAAGGTTGGTCGAAGAGTTTGCGGTCCACTTTGCCTGCCTGTTCCAGAACAAATTACAGGGTATTGGAAACATATATGGCACAAAGTCAACCCCCGATGATTCCAAATTGGCCGAAGCGACTTTTCCTACGGTCGTTTCGAGCTCTGCTACGGGTCATTCCGTACTGACCACAACAGCCTTGCCGATCTCGCATGTGTCGGACTCGACTCCCCCTGTGGGTGATTTGAAATTGCCTACAGAAGATTCAGCTTCATCGAAGGATGATTCTAGATTGACCAAAACTACCTTGTCTACGGTGACACCAGCCTGTTTGAATGAGTCACCTTTGGCCCAAACCCAAGATTCGCGGCAGTCTCCAGCAGTAGGCAGGATTGTGTCTATGCAATTCTTTTGGGGATCTAACCTTCATCGAGATGTTGACCGGGGCCCATTCGGTTCTAGCAGAGACTGGATCACATCGCGTCTTTCTCTCAATGAGAAGGAGTGGCAGTCCAAGCTAGACAATATACCAGCTGGCGAACTTGGAAGAAGCGATGCAGCTGATCTGGATGATGCAACGAGAACATTGAAGATCATCCAAAAGCTCCAAGCTCTACTTCCGTCTATCTTTCCGCCCACGAGCAGTACGCCCGAGCCCTCCATAATGGTTGATGACGATCTTTCCGGTCAAAACATCCTTGTTAGTGGCACTGGACACCTTACTGCTGCTTTGGACTGGGAATGTGTTTCGGCACTTCCATTATGGATCGCTTGCAATTTTCCAGCATTCTTACATGGGCCGCCTCGGAACGATAAGCCTGATCGAGAACAATATGATGTCGAAGAGGGAGAGCCCGAAGATGGAGAACCGTGCGATTTTTATTGGGAGAACCTGCGGGACTACGAAACTACTCTGCTTCGTGATGTGTTCATTGAAACGATGAAGAGATTACAGCCTGAGTGGGTCGATGTGTTCAACAAAAGCCAACGGGAAAGAGACTTTGAGCTTGCAATCCAGCTCTGCGAGGATGAGTTCTTTGCCCGAGATATTTTGGCATGGGTTGATGACCTGGCTGCCGGGGTAGAAAACCCTCGGAGCCTGTCCGACAGGATGACACTTCCCAGGGGGGAAGACACTGGATTTGATAACTCATGCCTCAGGCACTAAGGGGCAGAACAGCGCGGTAACATTGGAAGATCTATGGTCGTCAGTCACGGTATCGGAGGCCTAGCACGAACATCCGCTGCCGGTGATGGTCCGAGGAAAGGGGTCATTTGTTGTGTAGCGAGAGCATTTCGGGGGCAAGGCTTGAACTCGAAGGACGGGTCGCGCGCAGCACCGGCGTGAAGTTCGAGGAAGGCAGGGTACGACATCGTCGTGATGGCATTTTTGCAATCTACGAGTGATTTTCACCGTTTGATCACTCTCACTTTCGTCGAGTGAGTAGTCTTGCATATCTGAAGCCCGTTCCTCTTCCTATTCTCTCGTTCTCTTTCACAAGGGCTGCTCCTAGAAGCTCTTAGAACTACACGTTAGCAGACGCGGAGGACATTATAGGCATAAGTGGAGCACCACGAGCCCAGAAAGTACCACCAGAGCAGTCATGGAAGTAAATGCTGTTTATTTGAATTCATTATTGAACCATCTTCATCCGTGAGTGATGATAACCACGAAGAGTAGGTGGGAATGAATCTAGCAAGAGGCTTAGATCAGAAAGATTCCGAAGCATTGGAATACTGACGGCAAAGATTGAATACTTCGTAGATGCGAAAAGCACGCAGGCTCCGTGAGCGTGTTCATTCCCCCCATTTGTCACTCAGAATCAGAGTTGGGGTCGGCCGCCAGGGCTTCGAGGATTCTCTTCCCTTCATCTGCATCATCTGGCTCCCAAGGCTTCAGGCCGAAGGGTTCCATGAATAGGCTCCAGCCGCCATAAACTTCGATGATCTGACTCTCAAGCGGACTGAGGTATGGCTCTGATTCGAGTTAGTCGGAGTCTCGATGTTGGACTGTCAAAAACCGTACCGAGTACATCGGTGGGAAGCATCGGTGGAATACACATAGTGATGACTCGAGGTGAAGAGAATTTCTGATCAGAAGTGAGTTGAAGGGTTGGTTAGGAAAAGAGAAGAATAAAAAGAACGAAAAGGAAGGATGAGAGCCCGGGCCTGGAGATTCCCAAAATGTTTACTGGCCTCAGGCTTCGACATGTCACGGCTACTCCAATCCAGTGCCCATTTTCACAGATCAAGAGAGGGCTAATATTGGCAGACACAGAAGAATCTATACGCCTACGAGAAACATTACAGGCTTGATGAGCATCACAAGAACAGTCAAAAGAGTTGCTGTTGCTATTAAAATTTGGTATTGGATCGTCTCTTCCATCTGCGACTGGCAATAATCGTTAAAACATAAGCGAGAAAGAAACTGGGAATATTTCAGACAAGAATGTTTCGAGGACTGGCGGGAACCAATGGATTGCTCGTTGGTGTGAAAGGCACAAGGGCCCCACGAGCATGTTCATGGCCTCTCTCATTCATTGTCCGATTCGCTGTCGGAAACCAGGGCTTCGAGGATCTTCTTTCCCTCGTCTGCGTCCTCCATGTTGTAAGGCTTCAGGCCGTAGGATATCATAAAGTAAGTCCAGCCGCCATAAGCTTTGACAATTGCTCTCTCAGCGGGACTGAGAGGTGGCTCTGCTTCCGGTTAGCGGGGAATCTCGATGTGGGGCTTTCAGATAGCGTACGAAGACAATCGGTGGAAGGCATTTGGTCTGCAGCCCTGGAGGGCGTGAAATCAAGTGAAGAGATGTGTGTATTGTGGATGGGTTGAACTTGACTGATGATTGAGGAGGGTGGATTTCAACCTGGGAAGTCACCAAAATTGATGCCTCAGGCAGCCAGCATTCCCAATGGGGTCAAGGGTATGGGCCTTCGAAGCCCACGAGAGCCCGTTGTCATGTCAGAACACGGAGCAATGATAATTATTGACATATTGGAGTGGTTTCACCGCGCAATCAGATACGTGTGTTCATGAAACAGCATTTTGTTATCCATGGCACTCTGTGTGGGCAAGCAGCACTACCTTATGCTCACCTCTCGTTGTATACTTCGTAAGGCTCTTGATGTCATGGTCCTCCCAGTGCCCTGTATCCTTTGCCAGACCATCGCGCTTTGTTGATGACACTAGGTAGCATATCTAGTCACTATTGGCGACCATAGGTATCCACTCTGTGCTATTCGTTCCGTCAGACAACTCCGTCCTACAACGATCAGTCGATATATTTTGACAGGAAATTTGTTCGTTCATTTTTTTTTTTGGTCAATTTATCTCTAATAGGAAAAAGTGAACATAAACCACACACAAGGAGACTGAAATAAACATCAAAGAAGAAAGAACATGAACCCGACCAACGTGAGAACAAAAAGCAGCGAGGTAGCGACAGAAAGCAGGGGCTGAGCCTTGGACGAACAACTAACGCCGGCGACAGTGGTGAGAGCCCTGAGACTGAGAGCCAGGTCCCATGCCGAAGTCGTCAATCCGGAGGCCATGGGGGTTTTGAACCAGATCGTTGTCTTGAACATCGTACGCTTCCCCAAATTCATAATTGTCCCTGAAATGGTCCGAGGTTCCCTGTGGGAGAATTCCTATATGCTCAAGTCGAAGCATCACGTAGCAACACCAGAGCTGGGGGTGCTGCGCTGGAACCAGTCCAGCCTCGTGGATGACATCGCCACTCTGAGAGCTGCTCACGGCACCGAGATAAATCGACTGGTTCAACTTGCGGGTGCGGAATGGCTCATTATTGACGATATGTAAATCACGACGACCGAATACGCCAAGGACCTCCATGAGTGTGCCATTATCGGAACCGGGCGCTTTCAAGAAGAGGCGCCATGTGCTGATGGATTGGACTGTTTGACCTCTGGAAACTTGGAGGTAGAGTTCCAGGGAGTTGGGGTTGGCCGATCTTGCGCTCGGTGCGCTCGCATAGGGTACGAGCTGACGAGATGACTGGTAGCTACGGGTACTAACAGACGACCCGTGGTGTCCGTGGTGTCCGTGGTGTCCATAGCAATGAGAGGACTGACGCGACATGGTTATGGTATCCGAGTTGCTGATAATCGCTACTGTGAAAGATTCTGTTTCAGGCGCAGTGATGGATCAAGTTTGACAAGCGCTGCTTTGTCTATCGGAACTTTTTGCTGGGATGGATTTTGTACTCTGGGGATGTGGGTATTCTTATAGTCGTTCCTCGACCCCAGCCAGTACCCATGATCGCAGACAACGAAAGTGTAGCCTAGGAAGATCATTCAGTTCGTCTGTTGAAAATAATCATTAGTCTTTATCACAGTAATATTTGTACGAAAATTGTGGGGCTTCTTTCAGTCGTCCAAAGTAGCCTCAAAGGGGAAAACAGGTAGTTTTCCTCACTCGGATTTTGGCAAGTCTTTTTGTTAGAAGTTTGAAAGAAAACATCCAGTGCAACGAATAAATATTTGATCTGTCAGCCTGAGATCACGTTGAATGTGATACAGAGTGTAAGGAAGCAGAATTATCAACGTCAAAATGGAAGGAAAGAAAGAATCGACCATCACGTAATGCAACATTTATTGAAGGTATGGGAAGTGATACCTAGTAGAAAGGAACAGTGAGAGATTTTAATACAGGGTGTCACGTATACTAGGTTAGCTTTTCCCATAGATTCTGCCATATGAACAAGAAGCAGACATCAGATACCCTTTCTGCCCAGATGAGAGTGAAGCAAGGTTGAGGGCTCCTTCCAAGAGCTAGCCACGCGTACCTTCCTATTGTAGCATCGGAACAAATCTATAGATATCGAACGTAGGTCGTGTTTGACACTTCCCCATACCATCCCTCATACTATTCAACGTGCACCTCTGTTATTTTTCTCAAGCACTGGGAATGTCGAGAAATTCCAGATGCGTCGTTTTTCTGCTTCAAGGAAAGAGACAACTGCAACAAGTAGGAGTGCGACACCTCAACTCCCGCCCATCGGCGAAATAACAAGTAAGTCCGACTACATCGCAGAACCTACACAGCTGATCGCACGGGTAGGAAGCTATAACAGCCACGGAACTTTTCTACACTCAGTACCTCGCAGCGAGTGTGGAGTCGCGCATATGACGAGCTTGCAACCGATGAGGACACAGATTACGAATGCTTTGAGCAGCGTGTCAAGCTTCGTTCTGAAGTTCAAGGAAGTGATCGACCTGATGCGCTGGAGAAGCCGCAGGCTTATCTCGGGCAAACGAGAGTGAGAGCAGGTTGATTGATTCTCTGAGAAGGGAGGAAGAGAATGAAGCTCGGAACTGAGAACGAACTGAGAAAGAACTGAGAGAGCAACTCTAATGACACGGGACTTCATGGGACATGACATGATTCCCGACATCAAGGCGCTTGTTGAAGACTACATGAAGTTTGCGCAAAAGGCGAGCAAGCGATACAAAGGACCTGTGAACATCGATCCTCGCCTCCCCGGTGATTGACCCTACTGGAGAGTCTTCTGGAGGCCTGGGCATGCTCACGTGGCATTGTCGTTCTCCCCGTTGGCATCTCTGTGATCCTCCTTTCTCTGTGACATCTTGCCTAGGACATGGGCACACGGATAGGTACAACAGACGCATGGAACGGTAAGTAAATTTGATTTCTATACGGTGCGGTTCATTCAAACCTACTATGAGGTGGATGAATTGTATTATTGCAAAGCCTTCTTTGTTACTCCAGAAATGCCTGCTTTCCCAGATTACTTACGGTACTCCAGAAATGCCTGCTTTCCCAGATTACTTACGGTACTCCAGTTTCCCTATATACTGACTTGCACGACAGGGCTGAAGACTCCGAGTCCGTCCCGAGGATAAGGAAGTCGGCTCTCCAGTAGCCTGGCTGGGCCTCATGGCCCAGACGACACCAACCTCATTCCAAGCAATCGGATTTTTCATCCTGTGGGGCCTCGCGGCCCTATTTCTGCTGGTTTGCTTTTAAAACGGTCATATAGACCGTTATAATAGAAGAAGAGAGCGGTAAGTAAAATTGATTTCTATACGGTGCGGTTCCTTTAAACCTACTATGAGGTGGATGAATGGTATTATTGCAAAGTCTTCTTTGTTACTCCAGATCTATGGATCTTCTTGCCTGCTTTCCCAGGCTACTTGCGGTACTCCAGCTTCCCCGGATGCTGACTTACACGATAGGGCTGAAGACTCCGAGTCCGTCCCGAGGAGAACCAACTAGGCTCTCCAGCAGCCTGGCTAGGTCTCGCGACTCAGACCACACCGACTTCATTCGAAGCAATCGGTTTTTTCTTCCTGTGAGGCCTTACGGCCCTGGCCCTGGTATTCATTGACCAGTTCGGTAACAGTCATATTACCCGTTACAATCGCAGGAGGGAGCGGTAAGTAAAATTGATTTCTATACAGTGCAATTCATGCAAACCTACTATGTGGATGAATTATATTATTGCAAAGCCTTCTTTGTTACTCCAGATCCATGCCCAGGTGGATGCTCTTGCCTGCTTTCCAAGGTTACTTACGGTGCTTCCCTGGATGCTGACTTCCACGATAGGGCTGAAGAAAATGTGCAGTGGACCCCGAAACGGTCACAGCACCGGCCATTAGTTTGTCCCCGCCACTAGTCGGCGCCCTGGCCACCCCAACCCCGAAGCTGGAGACGGCCCATCTTTTCACACGCGGTCAGGAGGCCGGGCTGCCTAAGCCACCAAGGCTTATCCAGACCTAGTTGTAGGTCACCATGTTACCCAGTAAGTCTTTCCGTGGGGTGTTTCATTGAGGTTTGCCTCGAGATTCTCCTATTCCCATCCTTTGTGCTGCCAAGGCAAAGATCCTTTCAGTTTCGCCTCTTATCATGCCCTTTTGATCATTCCAGAATCATTCTCGAACACTACTGACATGATGACTATCATTTTTCAGATTCAAACTGGGTTAGAAGGCTCTCAAAGCAAAAGATAGCTGATAATAAACTGGTCAACTCTATCCTACATATCTTACAGTGTGCTCTTCCCTCTTCTGTACTAATTGGATTAATTCCTCTTAAGTACCTCGGAAAAAGCCTCATGGGCCATGGCAGCAATATTTGAAATTGGTACTAATTCTAGATCATCCAGCTACTAGGTATTATCCACATTCAATCCCCCAGAAATAAGCAAGGAAAATCCGGTGATGATAAGGACGGATCTCATCCTCCACAGTTCGTAGCTCATCATGATAACCACAAACTGAGAACCGATCCGCAAGAAATCTCTCCCTCTTCTCACTCAGTTCAAAACCACGTGAGCTCCTACAACAGTGGCAATTTGGAGTACAGTGTCCCACACCCAGCAGCCCAGCTGAAGTATTCTTACGTTCAGGATCACGACAACATCCACAATTCCGACCACAACACCCGCCTTTAGACTTGCAGTCTTCAACAAGAACAGGATGCATGTACCACAAAGGATCAGATCTCCACAACTCAAATGCCCGCTTCAAGGGCCCGGAAATACCAAGGAGCGTACCACGTGCATACCACCAAGCTCGTGTCCTCATCCAGTTATCTTCGTAGAGTGAGTTCATCTCCTCCTCAAAGCTTGGGAGCTCGGGAACCCAGTAACTGGTATCGGTCGTTGGGCCCTGATGAAAGGCAATCTCTGTCTGACAATTCACTCGCAGAGTATTTTCGAGGAGGATTAGGTCGGCAAAGTCACCCCAATCATCGGCCTTGTGTCCCTTTTTGTAGAGATTGTATCGAAATACTTGGAGGTCCCTGATACATCCTTCTCGCTCTAGACGGGCCTCTTCTGGTGTTTTGTCCCCGGGTAAAGACAGCATTTCGGGGTCCAAGAGCTCGTCGCCATTTTCGGAATCGGAACGGGCGAGGGTATTCGTGGAATCGGAACGGGTCATGGCAGCGCAAGGACGTCCGGCGGTTCTCATTAGAAAGATGTGGGTCGTGAGATTCTCGAATACTCGCTGACATGCGTGAAATGTTTACAGATTCCAAAATATCGACAAAAAGGGAGGTTGTCTTTCCCCAAAGCCCATAGCTAGTTTAATATACGCCTCATTATGATGCCACGCAATCTGGGCCGTGGGTGAGTAAAACCCTTTTCTAGTACCTAGTCGTATGTTCCACGGGGTAAATACAGAGTTCTATATCTTACTATAAGGAAATCTTTCTGATGCATTTCGGCCTCTAATCATATTTGTAGCCCCCAACCTGTAGATGTTACCGCTTCTTCCAATTATGGAACATATTGAGCAGTACCTCCAGGGCTGTTGTAGAAGTCCAGTGGTCGAACGTCACAATTACCTACCTATGTAGGTAAGTGGTCACATCATCCCTCCAGGGATCCCCGTCTTTGACTCTTTGTTATACCCCTCAGACAGCCTGCTGAGCTCTTACCACCTGAAAATGCCGGTAATGTTGAAACCCTGCACATCCATCACTGCTTAGATGTAGCTAATTGGATGCATTAGCCTGCAATCGCCCTATCTTACGCCCACGAGCCCCTGGCCCCTCCCACAACCTGGGTTGGTCTTGTGGACAACATGCTCCAGACCTTGACTTGTCAAAAGTCAATTTGTATATTTGCTCTGTATCTCGTGGCTGTCCTAGTGCTGATGGTTGCCTGGCGCCTTTCCAATGGATACGCCGACGTCCTCCTCAGCCGCATGCAGCTAGCTGAAAACTCAAGTTCATCCAAAAAGCAAGTGTAAACTTTGTCACTGGGAAGCCTAATGTCACCGCCGGCATCTCCAACAACACTGCACTCACCTCGAGCCCACCTTATCGCCCTCCCGCCCTCAAAAACCTACCTAGTCGAGCTTCCCCGGACCTTTCCGGCTTATATCCTCCTGACTATTGTCCTTTTCTTCTCCCCGAGAGCCTTCAGAACATGAGGCGAGACGAAGGAAAGCCTTGAAAGAGCCCACGCACCAATTATCCTCTTTCATTTCCAAGCGCCCCTCCGGGCTTTTTAACCGTTCAAAATGACGCCGGTGATGGTGTTCCAAGTTGCTTGCGCCTTGTTTTCAATGACGATGGCGTATGTCAGCGTCCGGTCCCTTTTTCACTCGGCGACACCGGAACCCACAGTGGATCCTGAGTGGGACGAGTTGCTGGAACGTTTGAAAGGACCTACTGATGATCGTTGGGAGCGTGGGAACCGTATTGATGATATTCTTGAGAGGTTGAAAGTCGTCGAGGAGAGACTGGGAATATATTACAAAGATGCCTGAAGGCCTGTCTGGCCTGGCTAAGATCAACCTCTAAGAGCAGGGGCCTATTATGGCCGGGTGACGAACGAGAAATAAGAAAATTTAGTACGGAGTTGAAGTTGAATGAGTTTCGGCTTAAGCCTTCCAAGGTTCCAATTTCGTTGTACTCAATATGGCGCGATTAAAGTAGATAACAAAGAAAGAATCATAGATCAAAATAGCTGCAGAAAGAAGAGAAAGGTGACCGGTGAGTGGCTGGCGAAAGATACCATGTATGGGGCTCATACGCAGATCTTGTGGGCTTGTAGATCATGCACTTCTTGAACCGCTGATCCTTGAGGTATGCTATGTTGCGAGACTGTAAGCTTTCCCTCGACGCACGTTCAAAACAGGCTCGAGCGCTTGGTTTCGTGAAATATTCAGTGTGAAATTCTCCTTCTGTGGACCTCATGTGTGCATAACCCCCTCCTTTGAACAACGTGGGCCAATCCTCCAACAATTCATGGCCACGCCATTGGCGGTCTTCCAGTGTTACACCAGCACCTAGGTCTATCCACTTTGTAATAACCAGAGCCAATTGGTTTTCGAATTCAACCAGTTCAAGAATAGCCTCGGTGCCACAGAAGGAACAAGCAAAAGAGACACATGGGGCTTTTTCTCCAGCACGATGGGCCTTCACAACCTTATTGATCCAGGTACTAATATCCTGGTACTTCGCGTGACTGCAAATGGTGATGCTGTGCGGGGGAATCTTAAACCTTTTCATCGATGGCGGCCATGGACATCGATACAATAGGTACCGCTTATCACGATCAACCGAAATGATCTGTTGGACTCTCAGAATGAGGCTAGGATGCGTTGAACATATTTCTGCGTCAACGGAAGAGATAAGATAAAGCTGAGTTCCAGGCTGGAGACTGTGGAGTTGGACTTCTGTGTAAGAAATGTCCTCGGTGCCGATCCCATATTCTGGGCCGAGATAGAACCTCATCATAAGAAGTTGCAGGTGTATGAAGTGAAAACGATACCGAAACTTCATATTGAAAGAAAAGAGCTGGCTTTCATGAACATAGTGTTGTGCTAATCTTGGACAGCCCAAGATAAATCTGGATATAGGCTCAAGAGGATCGACCCCTGAATTATCGTGCCTATGGAAAACAAGGCAGGAATGGCAAACGTAGGACTTTGGGAGATCTCGCCCGAGGCGAGCCAGAAGGGCTAGCTTGTCTCGTCTTGTTCGCAGCGTAGAAGGATCCCTCGTTTTTAAAAGAGCATATAGTCGATGACTGCAGAGTGAGGTGCATGTTATATCGTCACGAGAGAGAAGTTCCGCTATTCGCAACAAGACCTGGGCCGGGAGTCCAGGCAATGAATTCCGTTTAGGGCCCAGGAGTCGGCATACCCAGAAGGAGGGGTCAATGAAGAGACGCAGCATGTCCATGGTGCTTGGCATATGCAGCTTGCTTGAGAGGGGCTGCGAGGATTACCGAGCTAAATGACTGAGTTGGAGGTAAGAATAATGTTCGAGGTCATTGAAAACGAGCAATCCCAGGAAAGGCAGTTGATCAAGAAGGAAGAGTATCAACACTGGGGGGGGATGGGGATTCAATGACACATTAGACGGTAATACAACCTTGAAATTGGAACTCTCATCCATAGCCATGAATACCTTCAGTGCCGGGGTTCCAAAGGTTGACGGGTCCACGCTTGAGATGACGAATATATTTACTTCCTATCCATTGAGGCAGGACAATCTTTTCTGAATAGGCTGGACGGAGTGTGGTAAGTAGGAGAGACATCCTCAGTGATGCGAGGCCAACAGGGAAGCTGAGGACGGTGCGGCGGACGCGCACATGACCGGCCAACTTGGTGATTCAGGGACTCGGTGATTCGAGTGAGCCAATCAGGGGACAAGAAGGGAACAGAGAAGAAGGATCAAAGCAGCTCGCTTTGCTTTGTGGACAGAGATTCCACCCGTGCGGCCCATTCTTTCCGTTATCTCCTTGCCGTTCTTTCTGCCTTTGTTTTCAGGTTTTATTGTCATGTGTCTTCAGTCACCCGTTGCACATGACATTCGCAACGATCTTGTGAGATTTTGTAAGGATCGCATGCTTTTCTATTGGCTCTAGCTGTGTATACCCAGGTAGTTACCGGGGCCCCGGGGCTGTTGCGCGATTACGTGCTCTACATGTGAGGCCTCGATTCCCTCCCTCCCTCTCCCTCCCTCCCTCTCTCCCTGTCTCTGTCTCTGTCTATGCCTGTCTGTGATTCAGAAGCTTCGAGGAACCTTTACAAGCGACATCAGCAACTCTTCTTACACTGGGGACGAAATGAGTGAGGCTACTCCGGTGCGGATAGTCCTTCCATATCGCGAACAACCTTTTCAAAAGCCTACAGCAATCATCATGGCTTTCTTTACATGGCGAGGTATTCAACCCTCCGAAGAAGACTACTATACACATATATGCAGTGATCCTCGATCTTCTCGGTTATATCTCGTTCTTGATCTCCACTGCAAAACACATCCAAATGTCGATCTTGGCAATTTAGACCTCGAAGTCTTCAAAGTCTCAGGAATTGATCCATTGTGCGTTATTCTCTTGTATAACCTAACTAAGCTAAATATATCTAGTACATTTCGGGATCTCGGAGAGGTAGCTCGCAAGCAGGTTCACCAACGATCTGCTTCTCTGGATTGGGGGGGAGGCAACCACTCTAGTCAGAGGAATTAGTCGGTATTGTACCTAGGTACCAGCACAGGGAGGACAGTATCCCGCTATATTCGTGTCTTGCTCATCGGAAGGTGACTTTATCGAACCACGCACGGCGGCGTAGAGGAACAGGGGACGCTGAACCAAAAGACAAGGAGCTAGTCCAGAAGGCGTAATTTGTGAATCGAACACTCATCATCCGATATGGTGTAGTGGCTAACATCGTCGTCTCTCACACGACAGCCGGGGGTTCGATTCCCCCTATCGGAGTTTCTTTTTTTTTTTCTTTTTTTTTTTTTCTGCTGGTCCTGAGGGTCCACAGCTCGCACTCCGGATGGGTGGATTCTATATGGAGGGAGAAGGAGGCGGGGGGTCGACTAGCAGAGACGGGTACGTGAAGAAGCGGGCCAGAGTTGTCTTCACATTCATTTCCAACTATCCATGAACTGATTGAACTGAACTGATTGAACTAACCTGGAAAGACTCTGCTGGGGTCCAATAGATCTTTCAAACTTCCATACCCTCCCTTGGGATGTTCAATTGGAGGATCACGGAACGGGTTTTCACCGTCCCCGTACAAGAATTCATCAACCTCCTTTCCAATCCATCTCGCACGCCCTGGAAGAGATCTATCTTGCATGAAGCCAACAGTCACATTTCGCCGGCGATCGGACCAGAGACGGGTTTCCCGGATTTCCTTCCGCAACTTCTCGAGGAAAGGATGCCAGTGATTTCCGTTGTCCAGGAATGTTAAGAAGCTTAACTTCACGGATCGCACAGTGACAGGTAGCTCCGAAAGGAACGATATGAGGTCAGATTCCCTGACTATGAATCGTGATAGCTCAAAGGGTTGGAGCTTGGGCCAGCTCTCAATAGGAAACATGTCCTTCAGGGGCACAGGGGTGACGTTCAGATCTTTGCGTTCTTCGTCCATGTCATATCCCGTGGTGGCGAAGCTGAGCTCTTGGAGATCGCGTGCTCCACGTAATATATCATGGAGCTTTTTATGGGGAAATGAAGACCATGTTCCGGCGAGAGTGAAGCAAAGATCGAGGCGACGGAAGCCCGGTTTCTTGAGAAGCGTGGCCAAGTGATGGTATTCCTCACAAGTGTCATCAAGCATCGTGCAGTTGAGCCCCGTGCGAAGAAGGCGGGACTCTGCACTGAACTCGACGACATTATTCTTTTGTTCAGCGAGCGCGCGTGTCACGATGCGGAAACCGTGGAACTGCTCTTTCTGCCTTTCGTCGAGCCGTTTCCAAGGAAGCGACCATACCTCAAACCTTTGATTGGAATGGGGAATTGGCCACCCGCGAGGCATGGGATAATAGAGCCCTTCCGGTAAGGATCGAATCATGGGAGTCTGATAAAGCGGGTTGAAAAGAAAGCCATGAGCTGCAGACGTGACAGTCATCTTTGTGAGTGCAGGGAATTGTTTCAATCCATGAATGAATGCTTCTTCGTCGCACCTGAAAGCCAGGACATATTCTTGCTGCCGGATTAAATATTGGTAAAACTGCCAGCACGTAGTCAGCGGATACCCTATCGAGCCCAGCTTTTTCACGCTCTTGTAATCCGGATGCTCTCTGTCGAGCCCCGCCATCCCATCGTCAAACTTCTGGCGCCAGTAAGCATCTTCAACACTCGCGGCGCATCCAACCTTGAACCACCTGGGACAAACGCCTTTTCCGAAATTTGAACATTTTCGTAGCTGGGTGTAATGGTCTCGATCGTCCTCGTCCTCGTAATTTTCATCCGTATCTTCGTATTCACCACAAATGTATTCGAGAGGCCACCATCGACCATAGGGTCTCTGAAAAGACGGCAACCCCGTCTCATTATCACTGGCGTCCTCGTCTGTCACCAGTGGACCTCCAAAGCCAGGAAGGTAACGACTTTTGCGAGAACCCCTGGGAAGTCGGGCATCGTCCCAGATGATCTCTTTGACCTGGTGTCTGAATCTCTCATGGTCTGCGACAGCCCGAAAGACTTCGATATTCAGGGGATTGGCTGACAAAAACACTCGCCGGAAACGTAGATCCACTGCACTCGAGAATTGTTTGGCGGCGAGGCGCATGGACTTGAAGTCGCGGTTTGTTAGATAGGATGCTATTTCTTGCCATAGCTCTGGAGGGAGAAAGATCAGGGTAGTGGAAGTCATGGCTGAGGTGGTTGAAGAAGAGACAACGGAGTCGCTGCGAAATCGGGGTTCGCTTTAGTTTCAGCCTCACCCCAAGATCAGCGCTGGCAAGTTGAACCGGTACCCCACAGGTACAATTACTTGAATTCGCATTGATTCACTTCATTGATCCTCCTGATCTCAGATTACTCAAGCTCCCTCGCTCTCTCAGATAGTTCTCACTTCTCTTCCTCTCTTCTCTCTTCCAACGAGTCAATCAATTTTTGCTCTCATCCCTCTCTCTCTCTCAGATAGTTCTGACAGACCTCGCAGGAAATGTCCCGGATCGAGGCAAGGGACCAGCAATCCAGCACGCTGTATGTGCTGTATGTGGGAGAAGGGGCGGACGTCATGGACACTTTGGTATATTGTTCAGAGGTTGTCCCGCCGTACCCGGAGTATCCCCAGGTGTGGAAATATATCCAACTGGCTGGGCACAGTAGTACACATCATTCTGGAGATCGGTGCTATTTGTAAAGACCTTCGTGTCCAAGTACCGAAATGTTTTTCCATTCACGTTAGAGCCGCTCCAGCCCTGGAGTACTGTAGATTTGGTCTCATCTCACATTTCGATACTTGATGGGCCCTGTTGATGGGCCCTGAAAATCGGAAGGGTCCCACTATGGGTCTGCATCGGGGAAATTAGGGCCCATAGTGGGACCACAGAACACAATGCTTTGAATTAAACAATGCCCCGAGCGCGATGAAGCGGGTCCTCCATTATCGCTTGCGGGAGGCGTATATCCTTCGGCCCGCACATGAGAACGATATCTCACTGGCTTGGGAGTTAAGCTTTTACTGTATGCTTGGGCCGAGCTAACGTTTGATGATTGCTTCAAGGTATAATGTTCATTATAGTCCGTGCGGTCGCTACGGCAACCAAGACAAAAACAGGTCCGCTCTGGAACCTCATATTACCTGCTAAGCCCGCAAAACGACATCCATGGATGTTCTTTCCAATGACTTGATGGGCACAATCAATCGGACTTTCTAATCATTTCTTTAACTCAACACGTCTGGGAACGGCCGTCATGATCAGGTCACGAATATCACTTTGGGCCCGACAACAGTTCATTCCCCGAACTTCTTCCTCGTTGCTCTTCTATTCTTGCTGTTGGCAGAATTCTGTCAGTGGACTTGCATGCACGTCAACCATGGCTTTCAAGAATTTTTCGTCTAGCGTTGACTCTAGTCCACTCCCCTTCACATATGTCCCGATAGAAGAAGTAGAGCCACTTGAAAAGTACCAGCCAGGTGGATATCACCCTATTCTGATAGGAGATGTTCTTCACTCTCGATATCGAGTTGCCCACAAGCTTGGTTACGGAGGCTATTCAACCACCTGGCTTTGCCGGGACTACCGGTCTAGTTCATATGTGGCAGTGAAAGTCGGAACGGCGGATTCAAGCGATCGAGAGGTTGATATCCTCAATTATCTCAACCATTCTACTCCGTTTGAACACCCGGGGAAGACAATGATACCTTCTATAAAAGACAGATTCGTCCTCCATGGCCCTAATGGCACCCACCCTTGCTATGTGACAACCCTAGCAATGTGTAGTGTCTCTAGTGCGAGAGAAGGGTCATACAAACGCATCTTCCAGGCCATGACAGCTCGCTCGCTTATCGTGCAACTTTTGTTAGCCGTCGAGTACATCCATAGTAAAGGTGTTGTTCACGGAGGTTAGTCGCCATTCTTGATTGCTTTACTACCGCATGCTAACTCAAGAATTAAATCAGATTTGCACATCGGCAACATCCTTTTTCGCCTCCCAGCTGATTTCGATCAGCTCTCAATTGAAGAGTTATACGAAAATTGCGGCTCACCAGCATTAGAACCAGTCATTCGTTTTGATGGTCAACCCCTTGACTCTAGTGTTCCATCTAGCGTCGTCCCTCCTATCTGGCTTGGTAAAGCTTCGGAGGAATTCTCACTTCCAGAATCCAGAGTCTTGCTCAGTGATTTTGGAGAGACATACCGACCCTCTGCAGAGCGCCGATATAGCTCGCACGTCCCTATGTCCTTCATGCCGCCTGAGGCCCGATTTGAGCAAGAGTGCGGGCTTTCTTTTTCAGCTGACATTTGGACACTCGCGTGCTCCATTTGGATAATACTCGGCCAGCGCCCCATATTTGAGGACATCTTTGCCACGCCAGACGATATCACAGCCGAGCAAGTTGATACTCGAGGAAAATTACCCCTACGATGGTGGGAGAAATGGGCGGCACGGCATGAATATTTTGAAGGAAGCGGAAAACCAAATCAAGGTCGACAGGTGAGGTCTTGGGAAGACCGATTTGCAAAGCACATTCAACCCACGACAACAAGCGGGAATTTCAAGTTTTGACGTAGAAGAGAAAGCTGCTGTTATGAGCATGTTGCAGTCGATGTTGTCTTTTGAGCCGGAAAAGCGTCCAACTGCGCAGGATATTCTAAAATGCCAGTGGATGGAGAAGTGGGCGATACCGGACTTTGAAAACTTTCACTTTGTGCAATCCCAGAGGGGTGGAGAATTTCCATGATGCATAGCTTATTGGATTTATTGCTGGGCGCAAGTTTTCGGTCAAGACCCATTGGAATCAAAGTGTCGATTGAGATTCGATTAGAGCTTAACGGTCAAACGCACCGGAGGCCAGACTCCCGAGCGATAACTCTTCGAAATAGATCGGAAGGAAGGGGGTTCTCTTCAACTGAGGTTTATTGGTTGGAGAAGAGAAGAAAGAAAGGAGGAAGAGACTAAAGCTAAGCTAGACTACTGGGAGGGAAAAATCCGAATAATAACATCACCCGAGAGTCCTTCCTTCACGCCAGAAAGATATCTTTCAAATCGGCATCCGACATCAATAACGTGCTTCAAATCAGCATGTGACATATCACGCCTCTTGAACTTGGCCAACTGCCTGGCAGTCGTGATGGCATTTCGAATTTGGCGTCCGTTCATTTCCTGCTCAGCCAGCTCACTGACATAGCATCCGATGTCGTCAAAGTCAATGTTGGGCTGCTCCAACTTCCTCAGGCGATTCATAAGATTCCACCAGATCTTGTGTCGTTGAGAGCGGTTGAGATTCGGGTACTGTAGGGAAACATGGATCCGAGATTTGAAAGCTTCATCAATCATGCCAACGCGATTAGAGGTTAGGATCAGAATGCCGTCATAGTATTTGAGAACACGCAAAATCACGGTCACCAGTGCATTGCGCTGAAGATCTAGCGATGTGCGCTCTTGTAGAAACACGTCTGCCTCATCTAGAAGCACAACGCAATCCCAGATTTTCCCTAGATGGAGGGCAGACTCAAGGTAGTGTTCAACTTCCTCTGGCTGCGTGCCGATGTCGCCACAGCAGACCCGGTACAAAGGCTTTTCAGCTAGCTCTGCCACACTTTCAGCCGTGGATGTCTTGCCTGTACCAGGTCCCCCATGTAAGAGAATTGTTAACCCCTTGCCTTTGTCATCGATCATGTCGGTGCCTCACTCAGCCACAAGCCGATTCGTAATTAGCGCCTGGACGAGTTCTTTCGTTTCTTCCTCGACTACAAGACTTTAGAATGCTTGTTTGTTCCATTCCACGTCCTTGATGAGATCAACGTTCAAATTTACTATAATTGTTCCAAGGTTTGTGAGTACAGTATCTGATAAGAGAGTAATCTCTAACCCCATTTCTTGCGGCGAAGGTTGAACCCCACGATGAGCGATGGGAAAAGATATATCTCTGGCGCAGACGGTGGCTCATCATCATTCATCCGCTCTTACGGGATCTCCGTCCGATATGGGGCGGCTGTTGACTTCTCTAGTGGATGAAGTTGTCTGTAGTAGACTTCCGCACCAGCCCAGAAAGCCCGGACCCTGCCCAGGCCCAACCCGGTACTGGGTTGGGGCCAGGCCCGGTTCTCGAGCCTAGTGTCCGGTTTTGGGCCCAAAGGCAGGGCCCAGTGGGCTCTTCCGGGGGCCTATTAGGCCCCAATTCTAACAAATATACCAAGATTCGACCTTTTCATAAATAATACATCTCTTAGTAGTATCTTTAAGTATTAGTTTACTAAACTTTTAGTGAAAATCACCTTGAAATATTGCAAAAATACCTTATTTATAGTGATTTATATAAGAAGAAAGAGATAGGAAATGAAAAGATTACTTTTTAAAAACTCTACCTAGATTTTGATAGTATTTTACCAGATAGTGAGCTCGTGAGGCCTTTTTCTAAGTCGGGCGAACAAGAGTGTCGAATATATATATTTGCAGCGATACTTTCCATGTTCAGTGGCAAGATTACATCCATCCATGATAGTGAAACAATCGTACATAAAACCCATTAATCAGTAGCTTTATGAACGCCAAGACCGTCTTTATGCACAAAACTGGGCTTTCCTGGGGGCCCGGTACTGGGCCCGGGTTCTGGTTGAGCCCTAGGCTCTGAGCCCAGAGCCCGGACTGGGTTGGGCCTCCGGCCGGGACCCTGGGCCCAACCCAGCCCAATGCGGAAGTCTAGGCTTGGGGAGCAGTTCATATAGACCTTGGATGTTCACATAGGCCCCCTGCCCAAGCAGCTCTTTAGCCTTATCCAATGGCACTGTAACAATGCTCAACTCTACTTCAGCTGGGAAAGGTCGGTGCGGTCGTCGCGCCGAGTAATCTCTGCGGTCTATTCTGTGACCAAGAGGGTTTTATAGATCCACGCAGGTTTGAGCCGACTAGTTCAATATTCCGAATAAGACGGCTCTATACCGTGGATCTAGGTATATCCAACGAACACCTCTATTCATGGTACCACAGCTCTATCATTAGGGCCTGTGAAATAAATAGGCATATCCGTTGACGATTTTGCTCGTCACTCGCTTACCGATGACGTTTTATGTGGTCAGTCATACAGTGACGCCGCAAATTTCTCTTTCCCCTTCTCCATACATCTGAAACTCATTCTCGATCGCCGATATGAGTGACATTGTCGATTTTGTTTCTCCAAATGCCCCAGACCTGCCTAGCAAAGAGCAAGTTAGAAAGCTTTGCCCTAAACACCTTGAGAGGGAAAACCATTTCATCCACGTCCACAATGGTGAAAAGCTTTTCATCAAATATGGGGTCCCTCGTTGCGAATGGAAAAATCAACAATTCTTATTCGATCGGATGAGGACAGGGGCCGCTGTTCGTATTCCTGAAATTTATGCCGCGTTCGGTGTATCAGATCGACTATATCTGATTATGGAATTCATTCAAACCGACCACATTGCATCCGATATACAGAGAGCAAGAGCTATCTCTGATATTGCTTCTATCGAGGTCCCCCTTGATATATCGCCGGGTCCCGTCGGCGGGGGTTGTATCCATATGACAAACTTTTGGGATGATGGGATATCAGATGTTCACTACCCTTCTATCCAGGATCTAGCGGGTCATCTTAATCGTGTTTGTATCCCTAAGATTTATGACTAAATAGTTTTACAACTAACGTGGTCTATCTTTTAGGTTCTAGAGGTCTTTGCAAGGCACCGAAAGCTAGACCGTATTGATTTCAGCCACGAGAGAATGGTATGCTGTTACACGGATCTTAAAAAAGCACATTTTCTCGTTGATGCAGACGACCAGCTCTGGGTTTCCGCGTTTCGTCAAGTCAATTTTCTTCCTGAGACTTTGATGTACTTTGCTCTAAGCAAGCAATTAGTATCGAGAGACTCACTCCCCCCTGAGTACTATGGTATGATTCCAGCCACACCTACTCAAAACCTGGAAGCACTTTCCGCGGCAAGACAGTGGTTTCTGGGCGGTAGCAGTATTTATTGTGGGTAGAACCTCCCTTTTTGTTTAGACGATCATCTTGCTGACAGATTTGCCTAATAGATGTTAAAAATGAGCATATGAACATTGGCTGTGAATGCTGCCAAATCAATCAATACAGGAGTGCAGGTATCCGATACTATTGAGTATGGAGAAGAAAGAAGAAGAGAGAGAGACTACTCTGACGACTATAGATCCTTCCTCGTCCCGTACTCTCCGTTTCACCATCTGACCATCCCATCTCCTTTGCTTCACTTGATCCTCAGGTTGCTTCGACGCTGCACTTCCCCATTGCCACGACTACTCAGACATCCAGCCCTTGCTCCCGAGGTCAGGCAGACACATCTCGTGACTGCGCCTGACACCTCGTGACTCCAACGTCTCGTGGCTAGACATCTCATGATATGACATTGGCTAGACATAGTCACTTATGGGAAATGAGCATCTACTGGATATCAGATGGTCTAATATGACAGACCTTTTCCCTTGGATCGCTTCTATTCGTCTCTTTCTCCACTATCTTTTCTATCCCCTAGTTTCGTCAAACAAATACCAGATTTTATTCGCTTCTCTTCTTGTTCCTCTTCTTATTCTTCCTCTTCTTCCTCCCTAGGCTGTGTCCGCTTTTATAACCTCTGAAGGTAAACCCACAGTCCGACCAGCGCGCCAACACGATCGATGGCAACCGCCATGGCCTAACATGGGCAATACAATCCCTAGGGTGCGTATATTTTGTCGAATGATGACTGATATATATCCTTCAGAGACCATATGGGTGAGTGTAGGCGAATATCTGTCTCCTGGGGACCATGCCGCATACACATGTGTGAACATGGTTCTAAATTCTGGCAGGTATTAACGACAAGACGTGTGTCTCTGCGTACGATGTTGCAGCAGGGACGGTTACTTCTATTGAATGCTGGCATGTCAATAGATAAACACTTTGTCTCGGTTCGGACTTTCTCATATCCCACTCCACCCAATCATCGGCGACCTTTCGAAACTACATAGTTAGCCCATGCCGCCTTACATTTCATCATGACCATTCATCTCGCGCTTGACAACGTAACTCAAAAGCATTGTGAGATATTATTTGTCTCTTTTATCGAAGTTCTCTTGGCTGAAAGCTTCCACATGTTACTACGATGAGTATATTGTTCTCATTAGCCATTCGGTTATTGCGCCCGCATCATTCATCTTCCCAAGTCAATCCTGTCCTTCACAAGGTGTATATGCCACTGCTTCATCACAAGCAACCCCGCTGCGCGTTGACTCTCACCGCGTTCAACTCAATGGAGACCAATGGTGATTTCAACGCCCGTCTCCTCTACGAGCCTCTTGAGGGAGTCGAAAGACTTGAGAACTATCGACCAGGGGGCTATCACCCCATACAAATCGGTGATCACTTTCAGGATCGATATCGGGTTGTTCATAAATTGGGGCACGGGTCTTATTCAACTGCATGGCTGGCCCATGATGAACGATCCAGTAAATACGTTGCAGTGAAAGTTTGCACAGCAAACTCGAACCCAAAAGAAGTGGACATCATATCTACTCTCACTAGCCCTCATTTTCCTTCAGTCAACGATCCAGGAAAGTTGATGGTACCTTCCATTCTAGACAGGTTCACTATTCACGGCCCAAATGGCATTCATGCTTGCTACGTTACAGCGCCGGCAAGGGCTAGCCTGTCCGGAGTGAAAGATGGTTCGTGGATCCGCTTATTCCAGCTTGACGCAGCCCGGTCATTGGCTGCACAACTCGTCCTGGCTGTGAATTATGTACATGCCCATGGAATTGCCCATGGAGATCTTCACCTCGGCAACATTCTTCTCAAAGTTCCGCCCAATTTTGACCAGCTCCCAACCAGACAATTGTATGAGAAATATGGAACAGCGGAGCTAGATCCAGTTGTTCGTCTAGATGGCAATTCGCTCCCCCCTGGTGTCCCATCTCACGGCATTGCCCCCATATGGCTGGGGGAAGCAAGTGAGGAAATCACAGTTTCGGAAACCAGTATCTTTCTGACAGACTTTGGTGAAGCTTTTTCCCACTCGAAAGAACCAAAATACGAATCTCGCACCCCCCTTGTCATCCGCCCTCCCGAGGCTCGCTTTGAACCAAATAAGCCCCTGTCTTTGTCATCGGATATCTGGACTCTCGCCTGTACCATATGGTCTATCATCGCTCAGCGGCCGCTGTTTGAAGGATTCCTCGCGACGGAAGACGACATGACCTGTGAGCATGTCGACGCTCTTGGTGTTTTGCCATCTGAATGGTGGAGCAGGTGGGAGGCGCGACGGCTGAAATTTACCGAGGACGGTAAACCATTGAACCGTAACCCTTTCCGATCCTGGGACGATCGATTTGAGGATTGCGTGCAACAGCCTAGGCGAGATAGTGGCATACCGTCGTTTGATGCCAGGGAGAAGGAGGCTTTCTTCGACATGCTCCGGCCAATGCTCTCATTCAGACCCGAGAATCGGCCCACCACAAAGCAAATTCTCGAGTCAGAATGGATGGTCAAATGGGCTCTGCCTGAATATGGCAAGATCCAACATAATGCATGAGTTATTTTAGGGTGGAAATGTATGTATCATTTTCATCCGCTCTGGAAGGAGTTTTCTATTGTCGCTTGCTCCTGAAAGACCTTCTGCCACAATCTCAAAAGAAGGTAAAAAATTATGACCTGGGATTTCTTACTCCGTAGAGACTGTTAGGATTCCAACAATGGAAAAATATCTACATGGCATATGATTTGTCTTCAACTTCGTTGATTAAGGTGGCTGACATCCTTTCATATTGCCTCATAATTCCGAGTTTATTATAGTCCAAGGTTGTCAAGATATCAGAACCACAGGGAGGCATAAAGATAAAGAGCGCCAAGCACAAGCCTTGGGCAGCCAAAAAAGAGGACTCTAAATATCTAACATCCGATATGGTGTAAAAGGCCATGATAGTGAAATAGCCATGATACGGCGTGATTTGACAACGAAAAGTCGTGGTGTTTTCACCTAGCCATTGTGCTAATTTGGAAGTTACCTTGTGCGCACTAGCCCGACCCTTAGGAAGATCTGATAAGCTATAGAGAATTGGTATAATCTGCCCACAGATTTCTGGTAGTGCTTCTATAATTGGTAGCAATGAAGTATCAAAACCTAAGTTATGCAGTAGACCTTGCCCTTAAAATCATCCTTAAAATTGAAACCCCTTACATTCAATTAACCAATCACAATAGAGTCATGCCAAATGTTTGCTTGATAGACTTGGAAGAGAAAGGTTCATTGTCATTCGCTAATTGACTGCATCGGCGGTTTCTGTTGATGCTCCATAAGAGAAATTTTATAAACAAGAGCCGCGAAACATTGAGCCCAAATTGAATACAAGTGCTTTTGGTATTGAATTCACTATGAAGATTAACGATTCGAGTATAGGTAGGCATTTTGCCTCTGGGATAATCTCGCTACGATTTCTTTTCTCCCCCGCAATGGAGTTTGATTTATAGTAACTTGTAACTTGTGCTTGGTTGCCGGAATAAGAGAAAATGCCAATTCAATAGCGAAATGCAAAGCGTAGGTAAGCGGGACATCCAAGAATACCCCATTTGCAGGAGAAAATAAGGCGGTATGATTTGAGGATCTGAGCCAAAAATGAGTTGAAACGGTGATAATGAATGGTGGTTGCAGAGACAATTGACAACTTAGAGAGAATCGGCTCAGAATAGGGTACAGAAGTCAAAATGCTGAATACATAGTGAAATCCACGATTTTTTCCACGTCAGTCTGACCAAGGATCATATCCTTCGGGCCATCCCAACTCATCTGCGAGTTCTGACAATATGATATCGTCGGAATCATGTAATTCACGGCTTTGGAAAGTCTTTCTGGCAGGCAATTTGCTCTTGGATCTGCTTTTGCCAAGTTTTGTTCGGTTTTGTGGGAGCTTGGACTTTTCCTGGAGTCGTGTATTTTCCGCCCATACTCTAAGTTCTTCCGGGTTTTTGATGCACCAGATGAGAACATCGCGTGCTGCAAATGCATCTTCCAAAGCATCATGCCCACAGTTGCTATTCTGAATATCCAAGCTCAAGAGGTCCTTCGCAAGTGTTTTTAGTCCCCACATGCGGGGCAATGGCTTCGTTGATATGATGGAGGGGTAGACGGTCTCGGCAGTTAGAATCGCAGAGTCAACGATTTTTGAGTGAGAAATGCCTAGCACTTCAAGATCATAGTTGAGAGAATGACCAACTAACACAGTTGAATTATCAATGAACTCCAACAATTTATCACGCGCCTCCCGCCAGCTTCCGAATGCCGCACCAGAGGCAACGGCGCTGGTCATAATGGACTGTGTCAAGCCACTGAATTCATGCCTCCAGTCAATCACGTCCTCGTCTGGGTGAACATAGCGACTTATTAGCACTTCACCAGTTAAAAAGTTGATGGCACTGAGAAAAGCGAGTGTTTGGCGACCGTTTCGTACTTTGACCATTTCACAGTCAATGGCGATAGCAGAAATATTTTTCGTGGTCTGTAGCCTCATGTTTGTTGTCTCTCTAAAGTCATAGGTTTTAATGGACCCTTTGCGTGGGTGCTTTTTGTTTCGTATGGATCCGGGGCCTATAATATATCCTTCTGTCTGAAGACGATTCCATGAATGGCACCTTGACCGTAGATATCGCAGGATGAGATCTTGCTCCAGAGGAGGTAAAACCGTAGGATAGATCCTAGTTGCAGATATAGGGCCTGGAGCAACTTGCGGCACAATGAATTAACCCTTAGTTTAGTCAGTGGGTGAATTCGATGATTCTTACCTAGTGAAGGGCACTTGTCGACGCTTGCAAATGGGACAGAAGCCAGTAGACCATGCGGAGAATGAATTCCAGGCATTTTTAATACCTGTTGGGGGGATTTGAATGACAATTCAGAGGCACTATTGTGGACAACTTTTGACCACATAACTGGTGTCACCAATGCACTTGATGATGGTGTACTTGTTGGTGTTGTCTGGTGATTATCGCTTGGTACGCCCAGTGAAGTAGACTTGTTATACTTTTGGTAATGCTGTATAATCCCTAACTCATCCTGAAACGCTCTTTGGCAAACAGGACACCGAAGAGAGTGACCCTTCTTTATAAAATGATTTCTGACGCCCAGCAGACTCCGAAAGTTGTTTCTCTCACAACCTGGACAAGAGAACCGAGTCGAAACAGTTTTAACCATGTTCATAAAATCGAAGCTGATGGAAATTCAGACTTCTAGATGACGAACATGTGTGGGGGTCGCTTGAAGAGCAGATGTAGGGAGGTTTCATGCCCTTTATCTGTCTGCTTAAAAGTAAGGCTGGTGCTCAAGGCGTACACGTGGTCAAAATCATGCATGATGTGGTGGAAAACTATTGGCCGGCGCAGGGGTTTTCGAACGACCATACACTGCTTCATAATCCCCGGGTGCGGGGCCACACGACTGGATTATTTCCTTTTGCTCTACGTGGAGAGGACATAGTGCCGAGCAACTCTAGCAATCGAAATCCACCCTGCTGCCCTAATCAAATCTCATTCTACCAGGTTGGTATTTGTAGATGCTGAGACTCAATATTTCAGATGGCACATTAATTTTAATGATGTTCCATTCTCGTTTATTTAGGAGGGTCAGTGCTGCATCCGCTGTTCGCTCCTGGTAGGGGGATACTTACCTTGACTCTCACCCTGGCCTTGTCACCGCACTTACACCTGCTCGAATATTGACCGCGCATAAGCCGCAGTATTTTTTTTTCGGCTTGGGGGAGGTGGGTGATCGGATGATCGCTGCTTTCCCGTCATGTGACCAAAAGTGAGAAAAGAGCATGTTGTTTTACATACATAGAGCTAGGACCTATCCTAGGATCCCAATGTGCAGCTCCATTCATAGAATACATATATAATAATTTATGATCAAATAACCTTTCCGAGTAGGATGCAATCTACATAACTAGCTAACTTAATGCTTTAATACTACTTGCTATCTAAAATAAATCAGTTTCCTGAAGTGTCTGGCTGCTTATTTTCACTGTAGCTTCGATTGACCTATTCAGTATAAAGTATCTTATTTACTTTATGTTCTATCACCCCTTCCTTTAACTCTATCTTGCCCGGTGTCTGATTAAGAAAATGATGAAACTGATCTCCAGATTTCTCAGGCGCCTTGGATTGGACTGAGAAAACAGGACTAAACGCGAGAGACAAACGCAAGTTGTTAACGCTGGATCGCAGAGAAGTCGATTATTTACAAACTGGTTGTGGAGGTGGAGGAGTATAGGAACTAATTGACCAGATCAATAGTAAAATAAAAGCCTCAGCATGAATACTTACATAGATGCCCTAGATTTTTAAAAGTATATAAAATAAATATAGAAATTGGAAACATAATCTCACATTGATTGTGAGGGGTGGGTCCCAAATCTTTACACTACTCTTTCAAGCCTATAGTGTCATAAATATGCCTCATCCAGCAACTATCTGATAACATCTTAGAAGTGAGTCCCACGCCATGGGCTAAGCTAGTTCAGACCTAGCACGAAGACTGATATCATAGAGGGCCGGACGCTCAATAAAACTATGCGCACTTTTACAGTGTCATTTCTGAAAAGATTCACATTGCTGTATCTCCTTCAAGGATTTCCAAAACCCAATTCCCTCTCGACCTGTTTGTACCATCGTCATAGACTGGGTTCTATTTATCCGGGAGCCGGATTTACAGATTCAAACGGTTACTTAGGACCAACACGAGATAAAGTGCGAGAGGGTTTTAATATTTTCCTATGTAAGCAGTCTTATATTCTTCTTCTTACTGGGTGTTGAATAACTCTCCGAGAGGTTCATAAGTCTTCTTAATCCTCCAGATTGCACCTCAGGATCAATTGAAAGCTATTTCCGTGAGTATTATAAACTATAATCTGGAATACTAATCCGACTTCCTTGTCATAACTCGCTTGTGAAGAATATAGATTTGCCAGGGCCAAGAGTTTCAAGGAGTTTCAAGTCACATAGCCAAGTCATACAGGTATGCAGAGAGAGAGATCAGACGAGGGAGCACATGGTGCCCGAGGCAGCGTATATATAGACCTTGTCCGCTTGCCCCTCTCTCTTTTTCTTCCTTCTCTAGCTTTGGAATCACTGTTTTTTTAGACCTTAGAGATCCGTTTCTCATTTCTTTCCATCGGCCTAACAAAAGTTCTACTAGATCAATCATATATATATCCTTGACTACCACATAATCTCGAAAGAAGAAAATACGGAGATCGAAATACTAAACCTGAGCTCAACCGTACTTCTTCTGATCTCCTTTGTATACTGAATAATCTGGATCTAGCAACTTCCAAGTAGATCTCTCCAATTGAGTGAGTTCAAATTTAGATTCTCCTAGATTCTCTCGCTCATGTGCGCACATAAGAACAAAGGAACGACGCCAAAGACAGCGACTACCTTTATTCTTCCAACCTAATCGTTGCTTTCTCTCTTAATCCCAGTTCTCTCCATTCTCTCTTGGTATCCTGGCAGGTTGTTTACTGCTCATCATCTCCATCTCATGTCTTTCCAACGGCCGTATACCGTCTCTGTTCCGATAGAGTCAGTAAATCAAGTCCCCCTCAAGTCAAAAGCCACCATATTGAGTTACTTACGCCCCTTTCCGTTTGTCAATTTTTGTCGGCGAACAAAACAGCGTCGCGGAATCAGATCCACAAACACAACTTCATGTCTCGCATTATGGAACGCATTATCCTTGATCCGAATTCCAAGCTCCCTTGCCATCAAGTACATGTCGGCATACTCTATCTCGTCTTCAACATCTTCATCTAATTCCATCTCCCAAAGAATGACGTCCTCCTCGCCTGCTTGAACGCGTCGTTGGGCTTCGTGCTTCGCCGGACGGTCATTGATATAAGTGGAGATAAATGAGGTCGGAATCCGATTTCCCCATTCCAAATGCCTTGTCGTATGATCCAAGAGCATTTTTGCTTCACGTTCGTTTTGAGGATCCAACGTAATTCTGTCTGTTTCATTTGGTGCCTTAAACCCTTCTCTGGGATGGAACTGGGCGACAGAGCTCGCACTTGTAACCCGCCAAAACTTCATTTCGTGCAGAGGCGATTGGAATTAGTAGTAATCAAGATAATTTGCAAAATAATAAAAAAGAGGAAACGGGATTGACTAGATGTGCAAAATCGGAGTAGCACAGTGTAGATTCGAAGAGGAAAAGAGAAGAAAGATTTGCTCTGATTTATATACCCAAAGCGTACTTACCCTTGCACAAGGCAACCTTCGTGGTTCTGCGTTGTCAATGCCCAGATCCTAGCACTTGCCTACCCTCAAACCGTGGTACTGTATGTCACCTAAAAGCGTAATCATTCCAGAATGAGGCTTACATCATATCACCAATGGGGTTCGTATGGGCATTAATCGCGCATATCATGTGATCTCGCGTTGCTTTGGTGTCTCTTGGCAAATATGCGGAACACGTTGGCATCGCGAGAAATTACGCGACTTTCCTGATCTGGGTCCTACTAGTACTCTTTGCCCCGGCGCCACTGCGGATTGCTGGCTATCCCAGTCAAATGTGACCGCTGAAAAGCATGTTTCCCCAAATGTCTCCACTTCGGGATAGCAAGGCGGATTACTCTATCGATATGATTGCTTCATATCATTTGAAGCAAGGCTGATTACATTTACCCCACCGCTTCCTGCCCCCATGACTCACAGATAACCTACAAATCCTGCCCAAAAGATAGAAAGTAAGCCTCCTTTGACGTTTGGCCGGTAACTGTCAGTTTTCAAAATAATCTTACGTTGTTCTACACCATATAGATCCCTGATTTTAATAGATGGGGACAGTGATAATGAACATTGAGTATAATATATATTAACGGTGAATCTGGGAAACATAGCTTCCTCTTGGGGCCGTAGACATGCATCCAGGCAAGTCGTGTTTACCAGTCGTGATATATTTTACCACATTGATTTTTGAAGTGGCATTAAATTGAAAGTTGTTGCCAAGTAAAGATATGGCCCGGCACCATTGGCTGATTAGTGTGTCAGATTCTCAACCTTACAAAGTTGACTCGCCCCGCGCCCAGCGCTAATTATGTTGTTGCATAGTTACATGGAAGCCAGCCTTAATCCAGTGGTGATGAGATACATGCATTCGGAAGCAACAGTTGAAAGACCTTTTAGGAAGTGTTGTCAGCCAGGGAATTCCCGACAAAAGATGGTAAATGTTGGTAAACGAGGGACAAGGGAAACTGCGGAAGAAGTACCCGTAGACACATACATACGCACGCGGGGCTGATGCCTAAGCTGCACAAATTACTCCGAGATTAGAGAAAGCCCTGACCAAAGATTTAGGATGACCTCATCGAATGACTTGACCTCGGGACTCTGAGAGGTCAAGTGCTTACACCCCCCTGCCCCCTCCTCTCATTTGGCTGTGGTCCTCATAGAGACATCTTTCTCAACTTTTCAAACATACCGAAGAGCTCTGGTGAACCGAGAACCCCTCCAGATGGCAAGATATCTTCTACTAGCACACTTCTAATAAGTCACATGACATATCAACATGGGCCCCTTTCAACGACAGTCATACCGTTGCTTCTTGGAAAATTGTGCTAGTGGCTTGACATATGGCCTGTGCCATGAATAATGGATTCATGGGTCAGGTGTTGATCATGTGCCACCAGCAGGACCGCCAGGAACGGAGATGACAACCAATTGAGAAGCAAGAGGCAGAGATCGGATGGTCAGGTCATGGGATGAAGTGGGGATGGGATGGAGAGGACTATTGAGCGAGCTGTGTAGTCCCCTTTCCTCTTTCTTTCTTCTTCATACTTGATATCCACGAATCCATGCGCTCGTGTTTTGTTTGGGATCTGGCGATCTTCACAGCCTGAGCTGTGTCGATTATCAATTATCCAAAACCGACCTCTCCATATATTTCAAGCTTAATAGAGGCCAGAAAAAGAAAACTCCAATCGACCTAGTTTCCGTTAGTGACTGTCTTATAGAAGCTTTCCATCGTGCTCTTGTTAAGTACTATACACATTACTATCATATCAGTTCTAGTATCTACGGCTATCAAGAGACCAGAAGCCCCAGAGCTACCGTGTAACTCTATCAAGAGGCACCATTTGCATTTTGGTCAATATATTACATTATTCTCAGGCTACGAACCTTGGTCACTTTGAGACAAAAGTCCTCTCGTAAGAAAAGCACAGCTGCAAGTTATCTGGATCTATTCTGAACTACTATACTAGTGGCCCAATCTGTGAAGTTCTTGTTGTAGCTAACTATTTTCTTGGATCAAAACTAGAGTACATCTCGCAATACATGCCCATACACTCCCTCCTCCCCCGCACACGTGCCTACGTATAGGCATCAGATAAATAGTTGACTATCTCTAAGAGTACCGCGATAAAAACCTTCACAGATTTTCCATTCCTCTTAATCAGAAGAGACCATAAGGTACAAGGAGCTGTATATCGTAGCTCGCTTTATCGAAGAGACTAGAGAGAGAGGTGAGAAGAAAGCCAAGACGACTGACAAGCAAAGCAATGAAACAGACTTAATGATATCCTTTCCCTCTTGAATAATATGTGGATTAGTCAGGTTATTCAGAAGAACTCTATAATCAACAGGGACCCCCAGACGAATCCGTGTATTGATTTTAATTATATTGAGATTTCTTGACTCTAAGTATCACAAACTATGTCATATCACGAGATGTCATGTGACTCAATAAGTCCCTATCACGGGAGCAGAGAAGCTGGATAATATGTGACAACGAGAGGTTGAGACGTGCAGCGTTGAGATTAACTGAGAACCAAGTGAAGTGTCGGAGATGCGACGGTCAGATTATAAGATGGAGAGCGCGGGACGAAGGGGGGATCTATAGCTGCCAGGAGAGCTTCTCTTTCTTCTTCTTCTTTCTTCTTCATACTCAATATTCTCGAATACATGCACTCCTGAGTTGACGGATTTGGCAGCCTTCACAAACTAGAACTAAGTAAGTCTTCTGTTCATTTGTTACTGTGAGGCTGGTGAAGCTTCGAGAATGAAGGTCCAAAACAACGATGAGATTCATGATGTAGAAGGAAGAAGAAGAACTATAGAGCTATAGAAGTAAGCAACCTTTCATAGCTAGAAGCAACATGTGGAAGCTCATGGAAGCAAGCAAGCAAACATGCATGTGATAGCAAGCAAGCATCACATTTACCCTAAGCTCATAGGTGACGCAGTCTCGCCAGCTAAAAGATCTCCCGAAGCAAGGCCTTGAGAAACCCATCCTTCTTGGCAGCCGATTTTGGGAATATCTTTCCAGTCTCAGTCGTGTACTTCCTGAGTGCCTTTTGACTAGCAAAGTGTTTGACTTCCTTTCCTGTGCGACGGGAGTCGACCAAGTCGACCAGATTCACGTGTACCTTTGCAAGAGCCTGGCAGATTCAGCATGAGAAGAGACTAGAGCTAGAGAGCCTTCGGGGTATAAATCGTACTTTTTGACATTGTTTGATACTTTGAATTGGATTTTGAATCTTCAATTCAAGACATAGCGCCTGCCAATTCTCCAATTTTGTCGCATCGGTGCCAAAGTGAATAGCAAATTCGGATTCCAGGAATTTCGAAAATTCACTTCGATATTTCCTTGAACCTCTCTTCAAATTCATTTCACGTGATAGACGGTTGAACTCATCTATTGCAGGTGTTTTGGTTTGCACTTCGAAGACAGAGTAACGAGAAAAGCGATTTGGGGTCTCCATGTGGAGGTTGCCTACTTTAAAGTGTGTAGGCACAAAAGGGGAAGAAAAAAGCAGGCAATACCAGCTTAACAAAATAGAATGAGAATAGTAAAATCACAATTCACAGATCCAAGCCATCAAGCAAGAATCATCTGTGTTTATTATATTATGGGAAACAGGCAGACTTTGCCCCCCGGTTGAGCCTCGCTATTCATAGCTCGTGCCTGTGGGCCGACCTAACAAGGGTCTACAGCGAGCTAAGACAGCCACAAGTATCGACGGTATCGATAGTTACAGTGAGTACTGAAATTATCATAGACTGATCAGCCTATGAGACTGGCAAATGCGATCATCGAGAAAGAACATGCAACCAGCGGCTCTCGATGTTTATGAGCTTCAGTTCAATGCTAGGTCTTGATCTATTGAGCGAGACTTGAGGCTTTGTGTGACAGGGCAAAAAGAACAACCTTTCCACTTTGCGAAAATCCATAGGAATCAAGGTCCAAGGCTTTTATTACAACACATTTTGCTGCCTAACTGCCCCCAAGTCCAAACTTGAGGTTATTCGGTTCTATCCAAGTCGGTAAACAGGGCGCATAAGCTCTGGGGTATGGGTTCTTGGGTAGCAGCAGGATTCATAAGACCTTCATGAACTCTCAAAATGATCTTCCTATATCTATAAATGGTATATTAGGATGAAGGGTGAAAAATCGGGGCATAATTTCTGTTGAGATCACCCAGTTGGGATGAGTCTCGTGATGTAGCTTTCAGCTTAGTTTTAGTTTCTAGCTCAGTCTTGCTCTCTTCTCTCTGAGCAATGGACTCAACCCCTCCCCCTCTCTTTGCCTGGCTAAGCGGGTAGCTTATCCAACAATTTCGAAGGCTTTATGGAGAATACAGATCATGTTAAACCTGTTAAAACTTCATGAGGTGGTCTAGATCGAGATTCTACTCCATGCATTGAACTTGAACCTTCATGGGACTTCGTCCTGTTCAGAAAAATACTGCGACTAGACGCAGCTGCGTTTTCGCCTTGTCCCCACAGTAGTGCCCAGGTGTATTCGTGGCGCGGCGCAGCATTTTAAGCGCCCAAAATTTTTTCAGAGCAAATGAAAATTAAGCAAAGGAAAATGAGGTAATTCTTTCAAATGACAACGCATCACAACGTGCTGCGCAACCGAAATGCTGTGGTAAATACAAGATCTGCGACAGCTATTACCCCTCGTAATTTATCGTATGTCTATGTGTATCGGATGGAGTAGCTCACAAGTGAATGACCTTAACGAGTAGTAAAAGGATAGCTCTCCAAGCAACATAATGCAATGGATGTTTAAACATCTACGTAAAATGAGTTGTGAAATATAGAGGAGAAGGAGACCACGTATGAGACCTAGGAAAAGTCCCCGAAAACAACTTCTTCGATAATAGCTAACTTTTTTAGAGTCCGATGTAGCACTTTGGAACCTCAACAAAAAGCTCCTGCAGGCCTTCCGAACTTATATTCTGTGCTCAGTCCCCATTATCGAGGTCAGGCAGCCGGGAATCTGATGAGGGCTCTAACTACCTTCCAAGGTTAGTTAGTATTATGTGCCTGATGTTGTTAGTTTTCAAATCATTGATACGGTATAATCTTGGACAATGATCCAACCCTTGGAAAGCCATCGTAAGGGTTTATAGGAAAAGATTGCGTTGCATTTATCTCCCAAGTCAGCTATGTGGTGCGAAACCGATGGATACTTTGTTATAATATTTTGCTCAACCAAATTGAATCTCAGGGGAGTTAAACAGTTTCATAAAACAATCCATTTCATTCAACGATCAAGCTACACTATAGCTCTGTAGTACATGGCTTTCACGAGATTCGTTCGCTGGCTAGGGAATAACGCTATGTCTGATTCATGATTAGTTCGGGCCTCGTACACTATACTGAAATGAAAGTTGGTTGGGCAATTAACACTCACATCTGGGAAAATCATCCTCTGGGCCTTCGAGTTCAAGATCGATAATCTGCTTAGTGAAGTCTTGGTCATCAAACTTGTTCATATTTCGTGAGATTTTCAGATACAGCCATAACCTTTCAGGGGGGAAATCCACGAAGAAACCACGTAAATTACTGCGAACCTCAAGTTTTGCTTCATTAGAAAGGCTTGAAGTTCTCAGAGCCCGGTCAAGTTTAGTCCTCAATATCATCATGAGGCCGGCTTGGTGGGTATCGCTCCAAAAAACTCTTTCGCTCGCTTCTGTGGCTGATGTCAACACATGTATATTTGTGACAGAATATTTCTGACTCACCTGGATTCATCAGCGAATAGGCTTGGGGTAGCATTTCCGTATGCTTCTCAGGTAGAAGTTTAGATGCAACAGTGTACGCCACAAACGAGGACATAAACATGCGTGGAGGTGAAGAAACACCGCAAGGCGCATTTATTCTGCAACTGACAGAGCTTCCGAGATCACGGGCGATTTTCTCAAGCGCTATCAAGTGTAGATGACTGATGTGACGTGGATCAAGAACAGCTTTCATGCCAGTCGTCTCCGATTTGAAATATTGTTCTAAGCTTAATTTCAGCGATCCTTGAGAGTGATAGATGATTGATGAGGTGGTATGGGCTTCTTCCAGAAAGATGTTGTTTATGGTTGTCGTATGGTGGCGCGAGAGTTTGAAACATTGAAACAGAAATTTATCAGTCTCACGAAAGCAGGTTGGTGAAGTTATCTCCGATGCCGTATACATAGGGCGACATGGTCGAACGGGAAGATCGTGCAGTATTGATCCTGCTTTGTCTGGATTGAGATGTTGAGATTGAACTGCCACCGCAAGTCGATTTCGCGCCTTCCTGAGCCAATCTTGCGGTTGACCTTCGGGAGGAAGAAGATGACTTCGCAAGATAATGATTAGCCGTGGAGATATTGGGGCAAAATTGTGGTACTCGGTATAAAAGTTGGCATCAGCCTTTTGGGTAGTCACGTTATATCTCGTAGTTGACGGGCCTTCAAAAATGGAGTACGCATTTTGAGTCAGTAGAAATTCATCCCCTGGATTGGTCGGTTCACAGAACGCTATGAAGCTCCAAGTTAGATGTATTTGCATCATCACAGCATCGTCAGGGTAGATTTGCGCTTTGAGGGTTTCAATCCAGTCCCTCGCGGGGTCCATATCAAGATCCAAGAACCGACGCAGGTTATCAAACCACACGTCACGCGGTCTCGTGAACCCCTTTGACTGCATATAACTTAACAATCTTTTCCGGTCATCCGCCTCGTATTGGTCAATTTTGTTATGGTTGTATCGGTCAAACATTCCCAAGCTTCGATATTTCATTAGAAAAAGAAACTTCCGGAGCCTATCAAGCTCAATCCGATCCATTTCAAGGTCCAGGCCTCGAGAGAACAGGTTGCATGCACGACGGATGATCTCGCTCGTTTGAGACTCAAGAAGTGAAAGCTTCTTCTCGAGATGATAAGGATTTTCGTCGAAACCAGTATCACGATATAAGTCCACGAGGGAAAATTCGGTTGAGACAGGTCGCTGACTGAGGACGCATCTTTCAAGATCAATTTTGTTCACAAGAAAATCACGGCCACGAAACTTATTTTTTTTCATCTTAGTACCAGCTTCTGCAGCTGGCAATGCTGGCGGTTGATTCTCCGGTACAAAATTTCTTAAGATAAACCGTGGGATAAAGTGATGGTTCTGCTTTGATGGCTTCATCTTGGTGGTAGATTGGATTCTTTCCCTTCTTCTGGATTGATGCAATGGGAATATCGTTTCTTCTATACTTGATCAAACCATGAGAATGTTGGTCCGACATGTCAGCCTTGCGTATCTTGATCGAATTCTGCTCAGTTCAGAATCCACATCTTCGGGAGGTTATTGACTGGACCATGTGTGTTGCGCAGGACCGCCACCAACAACTAGCGCCCATCCAACATAAAGCGAGACCAAATAGGGCGTCGTTGTAGAAGCAAATTCCACCATTTACCAATCGATAACCCCACCTCATGAATAGTACAGACAACCCTGTATCATAAGCTGGTACGAGTAGAGATGTTGGTTGGGCCGAGCGCGTGATAACAAGGAATATGGAGCCCACTGGTCCGGATCAATAGCAAAAATGACTCATCTGCAAACTTTGAGCAGGGCGATGAAATAAAAAGTAAAGGATGCTAGTTGAGGGGGGAGCTAACGAAGGACTTCATACAAAGCCCACGCACAAGTACGCACAGGGATTGATGACGCTAAACCGCAAGGGCTATAAAATACTAAATCAGCTTTCCACTTTATCCATCCGATATGGTGTAGTGGCTAACATCGTCGTCTCTCACACGACAGCCGGGGGTTCGATTCCCCCTACCGGAGTTTCTTTTTTATTTTTAATGTCTTTTGTCTCTACTGTATCTTTTCTGTTTGATCTGATCACCTTGACCGTCCACTTCCAAGGTTGACTGTCTGCTTATTGTCCTGCATCGCGCCACTTGACGTTGCCAAGCTTCCCGCCAAGTCCTATCGGCATGTGAAAGTCGGAGGTTTTCGATTTCTTCGGATCTTTTTTCTTTTTTCTTTCTCCCGATTATTTTCTCTTTGCTATTCGAATTCTCATGGACTACTCATTCCCAGCATTCCCCATTCCGGCCTCAATTCGGCGACGACTGCCCCGCCTGTACTCGGCTGGACGCAAGGACTTGCCAAATCTCCACCGCGGACTGGCCTCGGCGTCCGAGCCTCAACTGTGTAACGTCCCGATCATAGAAGGTCGGGACAGTCGACCGACTACGGCAAGTGACGATCTGGATTTCGATTCGGGATCCCGAGGCTACGAGACCCCGCCCGAGGAAATGGGATCTCCGACCAAATATGAGGCCGAGTCGGGGTTACGTTGGAATAGAGTAGTACCTGGTGAGTTCACGGTGACTGGTCAAGGTTACGGGTTGCACAGCTGTCACTGACGAGTCGGGGTTTTTCGTCTCGAAGCCTTTAATCTCCTCCGCAATGCTGGATTCGAGGCCCAGCAACCCCATGCGGATGGCCGATTAGCGCGGTCTCTGTACGTGAATGCATTGGTCTACCTGCTTGATGCATTGCCCCCCGATTTGAGTGATGAGGAAACCACAATGCTTCAGCATCACATCCCCGGCCCCGTGAAGGCGTCCTTGACGTACCCGCCCCGCTATGTGGATAGGGATCCGAGACCATGCCGCAATTCTCGATCTTACCTGCATAAGGTCCTTGCCTCGGTCATATTGCAGCTGTTCATACTGCTCCGCTTCGTGCTGCCATATGTCAGACTATTCTTGCGTCAGGTGTATGAGTATGAGCGAACCCACCGCATTACCGAGCGGGTCTTGACGGCCACACTGGATGCAGCAGATGGCCTGGGGAAAGGTGGTGTCAACATTGGGGCTTCTGTCTGCCGGCTGAACGAAGGACGGGTTGGGGCTGCACTGTCAAACTTCGCGGCTTGGTGGATGGAAGGTGTGGCTGGTGGAATTTATGAAGGTGTAGGCGAAGGGATGATGCATTTAGGCATTACTGGCCAAGGCGTGGAACTGGACTTTCCACATTCAATGAATCAATAGATGTAATACCCAGCACTTAGAATAGACCAAATGAAGCGTTTGACATTTTTTGATGCTAGATCCACATATGATATCCCCGTTGGAATGTAATTTCGATATGTCTTTCAATTCTCCGGCCCTCCAAGCAGAGCCCTGGAGGTGTCCAAGTGTCCAAGTGCCCGGAAATGTTGACTTTTGTAGATCGGCGATAAGCGCGATAAGCACCGCGAGCTCTCTCCCACAACCACTGCTTCGACAACATGTCGACCTCCAAACTACCCTGCATTCCGTCTCTTCGGAAGCAGCAGCTTCACCTGGAATTGTAGGACCTATTCCGCTCCGCGAGGGGACTCCTATTGACCATCGACAGCGCGAGCTTAAAACATGCCGCACCGCCAGGGGTCTACGTGAGTCTCTCGGGAGACCCCACGCTGTGGAATGGAGTGATATTTGTTCGATCAGGCATGTCAGTCGGCAGTGATCAGGTGGAATCCAACGCTAATCCCGCGCCCACCTGTAGGCCCATATGCGTCGGCCGTTCTCCGCTTCCAACTCCGTTTCCCTGACACTTACCCCGATCTTCCACCCATTGTCACCTTTGCGACCGACCTGTTCCACCCATTAATCGTACCGCTCACCACTTATACCTTCAGCACGGGCTCGGCAAGTGACAACCCCGTCAGCGCGACGGACGATGAGCGATTATCACCGGGTGGATTCAGCCTGCGCCATGGATTCCCTCATTGGTTTGGCAGAGCAAGACGCGGTGGGCTCGAATCTGGAGCAACATCAAGGAATGTGAGCGGGGCCAGCGCGAAGCCCATGGAATCCGAAGAACACCCCGTGAACGCAGCGACAGATGATGGTGCTTCTGACGTGTCAGAACCCCCGGGAGCTTCCAAGACCGACACCGCAACTAGCGATGAACGTGAGCCAAGTCTGCCTTTGGCTAAAATACCTGGCAGTTTTGTGGCGGAAAAAAGGACTGTCGTCCCTGTATCTGAGGTATTGAACTACATCCGGTCCACGTTTGACGACGAGTCGGTGTTAGATTCTCTGCCGGTGGAGGCTGCTGGAAACCCGGGAGCATGGCATGCGTGGAAGGCACATCGCCGAGGGGGCTCTGGCCCTGGGAATTTCAAGAAAGGAAGCCCTCAGGCTCGGCTTCCTGGGGATTGGCACTGGGATGGAATCTGGGCTCGCCGCGTAAAGGACGAGATCGAGAACTCTCGTTCCGAGCCAATGCTGTTTGGAAGTGCAGCTCGCGGCATGGATGAAATGGTATGGATCCTCGCTCTAAACATGTTTCCACTCTAACCTGATTCTAGATTCGTTTCTCACGGATGGATGACGCGGCGTTGAGCTCGGTCAAAGAAAAGATGACTGCCATGGCAGAGCATGGTCTATAAGTGTTCAAATGGACCTCAGTTCAGCACGTAGATCAACACATCTGAACCTTCCAGGTTTGGGCTCACCGGTTGCTGCTTCCTCGTCCCAAAAGTGCCCAAGTTGCGAGGTCCTTCGGGTTAGATAGATTGGCTTCTTCATATATCCAACATGGTCTATAAGCTATCATATGATATTAAAACCTCAGCTTTAATCATTGCATTGATTCTGGTTCCCATCGCCGTTCTTGTCGCTGTCGTCACTATCGCTTTGGCGTGTTCTAACTACTGGAGCATCCATTCCCTCAAAAATTGCTGCTGCGGTCGAAGGAGACACTGGAGACGCAGAAAGATCCCATCGGACTCTGAGAACTGCGTTTCAAGTCGGACAACTGACGCATCAGGTAGTCGGATTGAGTTTGAGCGTCCTGTTACCAACAGAGAGCACGTCTAGATCTCGAATCATGGAGGGCACACAGCAGAGCCCGTTGACGATCAAGCACCGTCCACGCATCGCACATCGCAAAGTCAGTTCAGTTTCGAGCTCCCTCTCAACCTCATCCTACCCTCGGATACCTTCTCGTCGCTCTTCGCTGCACATTCATACGGATGATTCAAGCTCGAGTGAACTGGCAACATCTACCCGGACACCATCGCTCACTGATAGCCTGTACAACATCGAAGTGGCCAAAATCCGCCCAACCCAAGGCAGGCGTATCCAAGGCCCTCGGGCCCCTCGGCGGGGCTTTGATCATAGCTGTGATCCATTCGTCGATCAGGTAAAGCCTCAATCTCTTGCACTGGGCCATTTGTTCCTACTGACCTTCCACCCCAGACCCCTCGACGTTACGCTGATACCCACGGAAAGACGACTCGAAGGGAAACACAACTAGCACCACAGCTGCTCGTTCGCTGGAGCTCTGGGTCGTATGCCTTGGTGGAGCCGTGTGTATCGTCCGATTCAAGCTCGTCATCATTCTCTGGCTTTGGCAGAATGGGACAACTCACTGGCACCATGTCACAACAGCATGATTCTCGAGTGAACAGTGTCCGCTCGGTATCCACTAGTTCGGATCCGGATCTGATATGTCCTTTGGAGCTGCCCGTGGCTTTTGCCAAGATCAGATCCTATGCAGGCAAGCCTTGCCTAGACACTGATTACTCCATGTCTCTTTGGACTTCGGTGAATGTCACCGCGGACGTCGATCCTTTCACCGTACCCGACAACTCGAGACTAGGACCTCTGGACATGATCGTACTCTTCGACAACCCGCATCAACCTTCTGTTCGCGGCTTGTCACCAATGATGCTCGCGTCCTCGATTCTGACCTCAAACCTCATCCCCAACCGTGACAGGCTGGCAGTTGCATGTGTGGATGGAAGCATGCGAAATGGATTTGACCTACTACTCCCGCTCGGGTTCCATTCATTTGACAGGATACGAGCCGCGTTCGATGCCTTCTATCTGCGGCAGATCAAAAGGAACCAAAGACCCAGAGTCAATACTGATTTGAGCCACCCTCTCCGACAGATATGTCAACTCTTTCGCATGTATCCCAGAGCAGCGTATGGCCATTTGGTGCTAGTATCTGGGAACTATCCCTCGCCCGATCCCCTTTTGATATCCGGAATCGACCGAGCGATCGGAGTCCATACACTTTCGCCGCATTCTCGTTTCCCATTGGATACGCAAGACCACCCATTGGGGTGGCACATCCCATATGATGAAGACGCAGAAAATTTACAAAGCGAAGACTCTCACCTCATGCGCAAGGTCTCGCAGTTTGTACGTCAGGTACGCACAGGAATTACTGCGGGATTCCTCTCAAACCTCGACCTTTACATGGTCCTTGGCCAAGGGTGCCTTCTCCTGTCGGAAACTCCGATCGACCACTGTCGACTGCAACGCTTACGACCGGGTGAAAAATGGATCACAAAGGTTAAAGTTGGGGTGCCTGACTTTTACCACGAGGTGAAATGGCAGTTGACTGCACATCCTATCATACAAGACCTGATTCATCAGCTGGACGAGGTCATTGCCATGTATTCGTCTCAGTCACTTGCACAGTACATACTCAGTTCTGGTCTCAAGTATGAGCACTCGTTGCTGTCGGAGCCGCATGAGGTGTGTTTGGAATCTCACTGCACCATTGCTCGAGACCCAAATTTGACATTCCGCCCTCCTTTGAATGATGCAAACTTGGAGCTTCTCTCTTATGAAGATGCTGGGAGCATCAGTGCTAGCTTTGGATCCGCAAGTGAGGTAAGCTGAGCCTTTGGCTGTCTTTTGGGTTTGGATCAATGCGATATCATTAAAAGCATATTCTATTAGCACTCGAACAAAAGAACCCTGCTTTCCTGTTCTACTCTTAATGCTCCCGGACCAATCCCTTTCTTGTCCTCTCTAGTCAACCAGTATCATAGACACATGTTAAATACGCGGATACACATTGCCAGCCATCCGCCATGTCTCCTTGATTAGATCCGCACACTTCTCACCAATCCCATAAGCTGGCATCTGAGTGTGACCGCCATGAAGCGTGGGCATAACACTGCAATCAGCCACTCTCAGCCCAGCAACACCCCTAACCCGCAGCTTCTCATCAAGCACAGCCATAGGGTCATCCTTCTTTCCCATAGCACAAGTACCCGCAGCATGATAACCTGAACACGAAAAATTAGCGGAATCCCCTGCCCCTGAACCATAAACTCACATGTAGTAGCATGCTCCTTAACATATGGCACCCACTCCTCCCTCGTCTTATAAGTATGATGATTCAAATTCGGCGGCCAAGACCCCTTAACAATATCCTTCGTCCCAGCACCCTGCATAACAACCTCATTCCCATACCGACAAGCCTCACTAAGAACCAAAACATCCAAAGGATCAGTCAAATAGTTACAATCCACAACCGGGTTCTCCATCGCGTTCGCAGATTTCAGCGTCACGGAGCCCCGAGACTTCGGCGCGAATAGTTCCGCAATCATTGAAAATGCGTGCTGGTGGTTAATCGGGAATTGGTCGTATTGCTTTGGTCCGCCGTAGCATTCTGTGTTGAAGAATTCGATGTTTGGTTGGCTGGGCGTTAGGCCCATGGGGTCGCGGCCTGGGGCTCGGGGGGCGTTTTGCCAGAGTGGGGAATCTTGGAGTCGGTCGTCTAGTCTTGCGAAGGCGAAGGCGCCGAATGGGAATGTTGATAGGAAGCCGCTTTTCTTGTCTTTCCATTCTTGGTATGTTTTGTCGAAGTTGGAGTCGTGGTAGACGTGGGAGTCGTTTGTTAGCCCTTTTTTCTCTGTTTCGTAGAACATGAATACGATCTGGTTCGGTTAGTATTGTAGTGTCTGGAATGATTTGGTATCGCTGTGGTAGACTGACTAGGTGATCCATCAGATTCTTGCCCACGCCCGGGAGGTTGATGGTGCAGGAGATATTGTGCTGCGCAAGTTCTGCCTGGGGACCAATGCCAGATCGAAGGAGGATCGCAGGGCTGCAGTATGCGCCTCCTGAGATGATGATTTCCTTTCTGGCATAATATATTCTGGAGACACCGTCGGATGTCTGTGTTGCCACTCCAGAAGCACGAAGCTCATTGGTCTTGCTGAAGATGATCTTATCGACTGTGGTGTCTGTCTTGATGGTGATGTTACCGCGGTGGTTTTTGTTGGTGACGAAATCAGCTCCTGTAGTTCGCAGACCGTTGTATACCGTACGAGGAACATGCCCACAGCCTTGTGCGACGTCTCCAGTGCTGAACATGTCATGGTGTAGCGGCATGCCTTGTGAGGCATAGGATTCCATCAACAATTGGGAGATTGGCGCTAGGTCGTGCGGTTCGGTATGTAGAGGGCCGGAATAGCCATGACTCGCTTTATCAGCTTCGAACCATCCCTTGGGGTGGAATGTCTCTGACTGCTCATTGTCAGCGATATTTTCGTGAGAATTTCATTTTCAACTGGTCTTACCTTTCGCATGCTGTCGAAGAATTCATCTCCACTCCATCCCTCCAGCCCCCAGTCGTCGTAGTCCTGCTTGTTTCCTCGGATGCAAAGTGTGCCATTGCATCCACTGGATCCTCCGAGGAAGCGGCCCCGACTCAATTTCACCTGGCGGTTATCAACGCCTGCCATGGGCGGGGTGACAATGTTCCAATCGGTTTCGGCATCGAAGTTATTGGACCACCTAGCTTGTCAGCACCGCATGAAGGGCGTAATAGAGTCAAGAGTCTCACCCGCCAGCCATATGGACATTTTCAAGGTCTTTGTTGTGTTGGCCGGCTTCAAGTAGCAGGACTCGAATCTCTGGGTTTTCCGCTAAGCGGCCAGCCACCACACAGCCGGATGTCCCTCCTCTGTGTCCAAGTTAGCATGGTCAAACATCGCGACTAAGAAAGTACCATACCCGCAGACAATATAGTCATAAGTGTCAATTTCAGCCATGTTGAGAGGTTAGGAAGTATGTGACCCAGGAAATAGCGAGGGTGAGGACCTGAAACCTTTTAACGTCGTACTTTTGACAAGGAGCAGCGGGAGTGGATTCCGCATTCCAGTAGCGTGAGCATGGGTGAAAACATAATGTACGCGCTATATGTCTGGGCGGGCAAGACGATTGGAGATCCCTCACCCACTTTCACGAGGCTGCAGAATGAAGGATAATTTATGGGTCCGACAACAGAGGCCAAAAAGAGCGGGCCGTGTGAGGCGGAATGTGAAATCGATTTTTCCGAAGCGAAGCTATTCACGTCTTCACTTCCCCCGCATCTCGGCTTCCCCGCAGATCCAACTTTCCGTTCCGCATTCCCGCTCTTCGACAACTGACCGAGATCGACGATTGGTATTTTAGGTGAGGATCGACAAGTTTGTCCTCAATTTTCATCCAAGCGGCATCATTCCACACTCGCGTGGTATTCTTGCGCGGTATGCATCCGAGAAACCGGGGTGAATGACCTCCCGGAGATGGGTGGAAGCGGTGATTTACCTGCACTACAGCAAGAGAACCTATTGTGAAGCCGAGAAGTTGTCCAGAGCAGGGGCCGGGTCATTAAACTCTTTATGGTCCCACACGGGATCGCCATCATCATCAAATTCCGCCCATTGAAAGAATGAGCAGCCCTCATTTCCCGGGGTATAACCGGCATAGCACATCCACATATATCGCCCCCGCGTTTCGTGCTTACGGTGCGCACATCGAAGAATCGCGTGCTGTCCACATTTGCAGCGCGGCGTATACCGGGGATGAAGAGAATCACGATACCACCGGTAGGTGATGTTGATTCGACGGTTTCCAGACACCGGATGTGGAACGATACTTTGTGCGGGCGCAATACAGTGCTTCCACTCTTCTTGCATTTCTGCATGCATCACTAGCAGTGAATTATGGGGGAGATGAATTGAGATCTGGCCTTGTAAATCGGCGCGCGCGGCTGCATTCTGATTCCGGACATTTGAGTCGGTCGATTCGTTTTCCTTGCTTTCGTCGTCGTCCTGGGCTACCATACGGCGGATACGAAATTCGCGCGACACGCCGAGGCTCAGGCTTCCAATGACGGGATGAGGCCCGAGATAAGTCAGATCATCGGAGTGATAGCCCACATTTTCGGTTGGGCCATCATAGCAGTTGACAAAGGCTGCATTGGGCTTCCATTCTTTCGATGACTGATACTGGAGTTTCTTTCCATTTGGGTAGACGTCGCGGATCCGTTTTTCAATCTCGCCGTTGACCACGGTTTGGACTTGACGTGATACCGAGCGTAAGTTCGGCGTTGCTTGTCTCACATTTGAGCTATATGTACCACCATATGTGTACTCGGATATCTGCTGCTGCTGTTCCTCGGGTGTGGAGACATACACGGCATGTGTGTGGGGACTCTGAACAGAGCGACTGAAGAGTTGAAATGTAGATCGGGTTAGATACTTGGACTCTTCTAGAAGCTCCAGCAACAGTTTGTTCGCTTCTTCTGGTGACAAAAAGTTGTGAATGATTGTGCATGGCGTGTATGCTGCGATATCTTCGGGTGAGTAGAGGTGTAGAGTTTTGCCTTTTCTCGTAGGCGGAGTCTTCTTCTTGATTCCTGTCTCATTGATCGGTTTCAGAGTCCCATCTTCAGCGGTTGTAAAGACATGTGATGAGAGAGACGTTTGTGTGCCAAGTGAGCCTGCAACAGCTCGTTTTTTGGACGTCAGGATTTCAGCGGCAGGCCCTTGCGTGGAGATGGTTGAAGAAGCCGCTTCCACAGAGCCTTCACACGACACAAGTATGTCTAATAGCTCATCTTGCTTGATGTCTGGGAAAAGAGACATCAATATTGCAAGTTTCACATCAGTGGACTCTTCGGTAGATGGATCAGATGGCTCATCGTCTTGCGAGACTCGTCTGCGTTTCCTGGAGACAAAGGCGTCCATTTTCGACCATGAAGACGTGCTTTGAGGAAAACTATCCTCTCACCACTGTGAAAAGTGAACAGAGTGTAGAATGGACCTCGGATTGCCCCCCGGGGCCAGTGCCAGCCGCCGTGCCGATAAGCAGCTTGTAGGTTATCGCCACATGACTTTCCTCAAACTGACCAATCATATAGCCGGTTCGTAGATCTACTCATGCGAGCCTGAGGACTCATCAACTTGATAACAGGCCATGTCTAGGTAGAAACTAAGAAGAGGCAGTCTGATACTGTTGAAAAGCGACCTCTTCAAGGGAAGAATAACCGCACTCCTTGAGCTGGAACGTCCACGGTGGAACTTGAGGATCTTGGAACCCTCGGGATTTTTCTAGATCATATCCTTTTTAAAGAGTTGTAGGATCTTTTGTATTATACAGCTTATGTATATGAATTTAGGGGCGATAGGATGATAACTTCCCCTCAAGAATTAGTTTCGATGTTGTCATGTGGACAGAAGCATATGTATGTCTGCTAAGGTGCTCCGGATATCTCCGCCTCGCTAGACAGCCAAGCATTACTCGTGGCATTTGGTTATGTTGCTCGATCCTCCTTAATTCACTGTTTTATAACCGTCATATCCTGGGAATATACATAGACTGGATTGGTGGAATGGGCCCAGGGGGTAGATTGGCGAGAGGGGCACTCCGTATTCTTTCAAGATTCAAACGTTTCCTCCTACATCCCAAGTCTACTTGTGACTACTCTCAATTCTGATCTATTCCTCTACTTCCTACGTTCCCACCATGAACTCTGTCAAAACACCCCTGAGAATTGTTGCCGCCGACGAATTCTGGAAGGAGAATAAAGACTCCAGCGATGTATTCTTCTCCCACACAGCCATCGTTGCTTCGGATGGTGAAACTGCTTATCACGGAACAACCACTGCGGAAAATACGGATCTAGACCAAGAAGCTCTCTTGAAAACCCTGAAACCGATCCCCCGCGAAGATACATATCCGCATTTTAGCTCACACCTCACTCGCGCGCCAGAAATCTATATCAAGACGCCAAACCTGGGCTCTTACTCGCCAGATAAAGGCCAACAGATCGCAAACATACTGCACCACGAGGCTGAGATTTACGAGATCCTACGTCAGCATCCTCACCCAGGCTTAGGCCAGTCATTGGGCTGTGTGGTGAGCGACGATGGTCGCATCACAGGACTTGCACTTGTGAAATATAACACCCTCACTCTGTGGGATCGCGTGTATGATCTGGAATCTTTTGGAGAGGAGCAACGAAATCGTTGTATAGAGAGTTTGAAGGCTGCTGTTCAGCATCTCCATGACCTTGGGCTGGCGCACAATGACATGACCCTCTGAATGTGATGTTCACAGACGACGGAGAACCTGTCCTGATAGATTTTGACACATGTCATCCCATAGGGACTAAGCTGATCAAAGGGGGTCAAGTGGGCGCGTACGACACTGGGATCCCCGTGGCTACGTATGAGTTCTCCTCGCCAGATTGTGACGATAAAGGTATAGAGTACATCAGGGCCTGGCTCAAAAGGAAGTATGACGAGAGAAAATCGAAGAATGATACAAGGAAGGGAGACGAGATTAAAAGGTGACAAGAAGTTAGTGCTCAAATGGAAAGGGAAAGGTCTCGAGTGCCAGGAATTATCCAGTATACAACATGCATGCGCCCAAGGTCTGATATACGATTGCCAATTTACGGGTCTCCAAGGTTGATAGGGCCAATAGATTCTGTATTTCCCGATAATGTTCAAGAAAAAGGGTTGTGATCTATTGAAGTCTTCCTCGAAGCCCCCGAGGTCAATGTTTGCTCCATTCACCTTCTCCCAAGTATACCCGGCCCTCACGGTGATAATCAACCAAAGACTTGAGCTGCCTTAATCCATCAAACACCTCTACCAATGCATCGAGCGCCACTGTCGTCCAACCGTGATATGCACCCCGATATTTCCTCACACAGTCAGATACACCACCAATATCAATCTGTGGATGATCGCTCATTCTCGAATCAGGATAATTCTCCTCAACAACCTTTACCCAACAACTTCCCAAATCAGCATCGCTTCCAACCATAGACGAGGCATCCAAAACATTCTTTAAATGCGACAAAACTGTATCATCAATCATCAGACATACACGCAGTCTACTCGGCAGCTCTGTCTCAGGTATCGCCAACGCCACCTTAAACTCATGAAACACCTGCCGAATCCCCTCCTCGCTCATATCAGCGTACATATCCCGAGAGTTGAAAAGTTTGGACGAGTACGTCTCTGTGAGGATCCGGATCTGCTCATCAGAGCCTGTCAGGGTGCGGCGCAACGATTGACCCACGGCGTCGTTCAGGCACCGCAGGTATACTGGCAGAAGACGCTTGGTATCCGGGGCGTATGACGTACGGTAGAGAATAGGACCCCATGAGAGAGTGAGGAAGTCTCGCTCTGGGCCTGGTGGTAGTGAACGGAAACCTGGGGACGCTCCAAGACTGAAGACTTCTTGTTCGAGGAATTCTTCTGCTGACGATGTGTAGTGTTTATACTCGGGCATGCCATTATCGCATCCCATGGAGGGCATGGGGTGAAAAGACTGTTTGCTGATCATGATGTACGGTTGTGAGGAGCTATAGTGTAGACAGGTGTTGAAGAGGAAGGTCTCAAAAAGAGGCCAATCATGGCGTCATTTTCATGAGCTTCGGGGCAAATTGTGGCCACGGGGACTTTGGGACTTTGATGTGTTCTGATTGAACAAATTTGCAATCTTTCATTGAGGGAACACTGCAGAAACTACGGGTCTGATATGTTGACGTCAACGGCGATCCACGTCTCAACCCAAATCCAACCTCACACCTCACATGTAAATTACACCCATCTTCCCTTGAAGCTGTTGGCATAGCTAGTAGTACCTATGTGTATTTTTGACTCTGCCGTTAGGGATGTATTTGTGGCTAGGATGGTAAACCTCTTTGACGGTGAGCTGCGTACTGTCCAAGGGTTCCCATTTGAAAGGAACCACTTGGGAAAACCACCTAGATATGGATGTTTAGACCATATGGAGTTTACTACAGGGCCATGTAGTTCCAATGGTCTTAATGGATCTCGAGGGTAGAAAGACATGAAGTGAACGTGAAGAGCGAGAGATAGATGCCTGAAAATCAAGGAAGGACCTCGGCCCATTAGGATCCCCGCAATCCCGAGATCAGTCGCCGCACATCGCATCGGACTTCATGTCTTTACCTATTCCCTGTCTAATTTGTTCCGACTCCCCATTGCATCACCGGCGCTGTTAAATCAGTCGTCCAATATGCTCCACTATCGCACACAAGGGTACAACGGTTGCGCCGTCAAGTACTCCCCTTTCTTCGACAATAGGCTTGCTGTCGCAAGCTCATCAAACTTCGGACTCGTTGGAAATGGACGTCTTCATATTTTGGAACTGACTGCGAACGGAATACAACCTCTAAAGTGGTAGGTGGGGGTGGTTGCGAACCCCGCGGAGAGCTCACTTCTTGCCGTGGGGAACCCGAACATATCGCTGACGGAATGCGTATACAATCAGGTTCACAACACAAGACTCCCTCTACGACCTTGCATGGTCTGAACTCCACGAGAACCAAGTCCTCGCCGCATCAGGCGACGGTAGCATAAAGCTCTTCGACTGCACAGCGAACGACTTCCCCATCCAAAACTGGAAAGAGCATGCGCGCGAGGTCTTCAGCGTAAACTGGAACCCCGTAGCAAAAGATCGCTTCTGCTCAAGTAGTTGGGATGGCACAGTCCGCATCTGGTCCCCTCATCGTCCCCAATCCCTCCTCACCCTCCCCACCCACAGCTGCACCTACTCTGCCTCCTTCTGTCCGCACAATCCAGACCTCATTTCATGCGTGACATCAGACTCGTACGTGCGCGTCTTTGATCTTCGCACTCCTGCCTCCGCTTCAAACCATCTCGTCACTCAAATTCCTATTCATGCTGCTCCTGTTGCGCCTGCGATCCCAGGACAGCCTGGTGGTCCGGCCCCGCCTGCGGAGGCCCTGACTCATGACTGGAATAAGTACCGGCCTACTGTTCTTGCGACCGCGGGCGTTGATCGCGCGATTCGCACTTTTGATATCCGCGCGCCACAACAAGGCCCGTTGGCCACAATGCTCGGGCATGAATACGCCGTTCGGAAACTGGCGTGGTCGCCTCATCTCTCTAATGTTCTCCTGAGTGCCAGTTACGATATGACATGTCGCGTGTGGAATGATCGCTCAGACGTGAGCCCCGGAGGCGATATGGATGTGATGCGTGGTGGTCCCGCGGGCCCCGTGGTTGGTGCGGAGCTGGGGCGCATGGGGAGACACACCGAGTTTGTCACCGGAGTTGACTGGTGCCTATTTGGAAATGAAGGCTGGTGTGCTAGTGTTGGGTGGGATGAGAGTGTATATGTTTGGGATGTACGAGCCGCGATGGCATAGAACGGATGCTTGATGCATCCAATTATCTACACATTACTTGCGGAGATAAGATTCTCCAAACTACCATAGCCTTCCAGGGCTGAGTCCCGATGCTGCGTAGTGTGTAGCGTACAGTGATCATTTTATTTCGTTATTTACATGCCAGAATATATGAGCCATGGTAGGAGGGAAGTGCTGAAACTCTGGGGAAATATGCCCCAAGGTGTGCTCAGACACTGTGGTTAACTCTGCGCAATGCTGCACAATGCAAGCCAATTTCTTCCTGAATCATGCCAAATGACCGCATATGGGTCACGCTCTCGGCACTGAAGCCCATGATGGGCATTGCTGAAAGCAAGCACACTTGGGTTTCGAGTTGAAGAGCAAGAACTGCTAGTTACCGTGATCTCGCTAGACAATCTGGCCGATACATCGAGTTGTGTAAGATGACAGATTATTTGCTGCCCAGGCGACCCTCGAGCTTGGCGCGCTCGTTCTCCCGCAGCTGAGCCACTTCCTCCTTGGAAGCATTGACGGCGGCATGCACTTGGTTGAAGGGGTTCTCCTCGCTCTTCTCGAACTCCTTCCTGCAGAGATCCATACGCTGGTTTCGGCGCAGGCCAGGGTTCTCTTCTTCGATCTCGGGCAGACGTCGTTCCTCGAAGGCGGCATAGGCAGCCTTGAATCGTCGCTCGGGGTGACGGTCGATCTTCGAGGTATCCTTCGAGGCTAGGGAGAGAGCGTCCAGCGCGTTGTCGATACCAGTAGCGTTGAGAGATGATCCCTTCTTGGCGGGGGCGTCACCATCCAGCTGTGAAAGGTCGAGGCCGCGAGTCTTCTTTTGTGCGCTCTTCGCGTTGGCGCCTTTGGCCTTGGATGGCTGAGAGGCCTCCTCTTCGGCTAGCAGAGCATCGCGCTCGGCCTTCTTGCGAGCTGCGTCAGCCTTCTTAGCCTCAGCATCTTCCCTGTCGATACAAATCTCGTTAGCCCTCTAGCTGAGAATGTTGTTCAGGCTCAGATTTGCCTACTTCTTGGCGTTGCTCTTAGATCCCTTAGACCATTGCTTGTCTTCTTCCGCGGACTTCTTCTGGTCCTCGGCGGCCTTCTTGGATGCGGCCGCGTCGGCTTTCTATATGCTGCCGTCAATATTTATCCAAATGCCGTCATGGTGAGGGATGTGGCAGTAATAGTGGGGGCGGGGTTTCGAGAAAAAAAACATACACGAGCGTTTCCGGCGGCCTTCTTGGAGTTTTCACCTGCTGCTTTCTTGCCTCCCATGATGAAATATGAAATCCAAAGTAAACGCTAGACAGAGTCCGAAATATGGATGAGAAGAGAAGAAGATCCGGAATCGATTGTTACTACATGATCCGATCCGCGAGACTGTTATGCCGACTCCGACCAAGGCGGTGGCCACTGGCCCGTGCGTCATTGTGCCAGGGCGGTGAGTTCCCCGGGGTTGGTAATCTCCTATCTGACCTCGCGATCTTCGGCCTTCTGGTTACATCTACTGATTACTATGGCATTGGCATAGCGTGGTTCATTTGTATGCTTTTGGTCTCAAATATTGCTTACCCGGTATCGATTCTTGGGCTACCTGGTCAATCGACTGGCGGTTTCCCCTAATACTATGATCTGATCGCCATCTTGCGCCATGGCTTTACTATCACGCTTCTTGCAGGCTTTCGCCTTGCTTTTCCTCGTCATCGCAGTTTCCGCTGAACACACCTCGAACTGGGCAGTGCTTGTCTCGACGTCCCGATTTTGGTTCAACTACCGACACCTCGCCAATGTCCTTTCGCTTTACCGAACAGTCAAGCGTCTCGGTATCCCCGACTCGCAGATCATCCTAATGCTTCCCGACGACATGGCTTGCAACCCTCGAAATGCTTTCCCAGGAACCGTCTACAGTAACGCAGATCGTGCCGTCGATCTCTATGGCGACAACATCGAGGTGGACTACAGGGGCTACGAAGTCACAGTGGAAAACTTTATCCGTCTGTTGACTGATCGACTGGACGAGGACGTCCCGCGCAGCAAACGGCTGGGATCCGATGCCGGAAGCAACGTATTAGTCTACATGACCGGACACGGAGGCGATCAATTCCTGAAGTTCCAGGATGCCGAGGAAATCGGCGCATGGGACCTGGCTGATGCATTTGGACAAATGTGGGAGAAAAAACGATACCACGAATTGCTGTTCATGATCGACACCTGCCAGGCCAATACCATGTACACCCACTTCTATTCGCCCAACATTGTAGCAACCGGCTCCAGTGAGATCGACCAGTCTTCCTACTCTCACCACGCGGACAACGATGTCGGTGTTGCTGTGATTGATCGATGGACATACTATGTTCTTGAGTTCCTCGAGACCCAGGTGACAAGCGTCACTTCCAAGTTGAACCTGGGCGATCTTTTCGATTCATACGATGAATCCAAAATCCACTCGCAACCCGGTGTTCGGTGGGATCTTTTCCCAGGCGGCGAGCAAGAAGGCCGCCTGAGAACTGTGGTGGATTTCTTCGGCAATGTCCAGAACGTGGAGGTCGAGAACGCCAATGCAACTGAGCCTGGCTCGCTGAAGGAGGATTTGGCTGAAATTGCCCGCCTCGTTGAGAAGTGGCAGAAGCGTGACGAGGAATATGCAGACGTGCTTTCCGCTCGGAATACCACAGATGACTCGCCTACAGCTTCCTTGCATTTGAAGCCGAAGGGAAGGGTTGGGCCGACCAAGATGGCCGAAGACGGCAGTTGGGGAAAACGACTGGTTGGCATCACCGTTGTTGGAGCTTGCACCGCAATCTGGATCGCTGGCTCGGTCTTGGGTCGCAAAAGTGTTTAGAGATGCAACGGGATGTCAACCTATATGGATCTCATCTTGACTATAATTCACGCCCGTCTTTCATAACCCGGTTCTTAGCACTGCATGTGAGCCAAGGGTATATAGCATGCTCATGGCGCTAGGCGTTTAATTGAATGATATCCTTTGAACTAATCCTAAAACTCGGATTTCTCAAGTCCAACATAGTAGCTCACTCCACCTGCTCTGGCTCCCAGGGATCCGCCATTATACCAATTTTGGCTTAGGGCTTCTTTTACTAGAGGAATGGATATACCCATACCTAAGTAGTCTCAACGCTCAGGATACAACCTACATCAGTCCATACTTGCAAGTAAATGATCCACCTCTTTCGCCTTGACACTATCGAGGTACGATTGAATATGAATACTATGCTGGACCAGACATTACGCACCATATATTGGATCAGATTGAAATTTTGCCTAAGTGGAACTATGAGGGTAACCGCGGTAGGCTTCAAGGATATGCTGTGTGGAACGATCCCTTTTAGACTCCCAAACCATGATAGTGTAGCTGTCCTTACGGAGTATATGGCACGCATTGGTGGAGCTAGTGAGTATTATCAGATATCATGCACCAATGATGCAAGGCTCAATTGCGACGGGTATACTAGTAGATGGGAATTTCGCGTTCAATCTCGCGTTCAGTGTTCAGTATGCGGTAGGACGGAAGAAAGTCACGCCAAAAGATAGAAGGAAGAATTCCTCCAATCTCCAGAGCCATGCCAGGAGTGAAGGAGTGAAGGGGAATACCTCTTTGTCGAGGTGATGAAGAGGTATGGAATCCCGGCACGTGCCCGACGCGTCGCGCTTGTCCACTTCCCCGGCGCTACGAGAGTCTTGCTGCAAGGGCTTTCCCCCCAATAAACGTCCTCACAATTCACGTCGACCATATTCTTACGAATTATCTTTCTTCATGAGCTGTCGCATGAGTATCTGAACATTCAAGGCTGGCCATGTATCTTCCCAGGCAGCTCATCTCCCACCTTTACCTCCAGCTCCTCCGATCTCACCACCCACTTTCCCCGCCGGTCCTGATTCTCGTGGCACTAGAGCCAGACGCGCTATGTGCCTGTCGGATTCTGACAGCTCTGTTAAAACGCGATTACATCCCTCATAAAATCCAGCCCGTCGCCGGATATGGCGACCTGTCGCGTGCGGGGGAGGAATTGGTGCGGCCCATGCAGACCACCAATGGCGGCAGCGGTGGTGTGGTGATCTGTCTTGGGGTTGGGGGCTTGGTCGATTTGAGTGAAATATTGGCATTAAGTAACCCCGACGAAGAAGTGGAGGACATGGGAGGCGTGGAGGTCTGGGTGTTTGACGCGCGACGGCCGTGGAACCTGGGGAACATCTTCGGCGGACAAGCTGGGATAGGCCAGGAGGTGGACGGAGTCGATCCCAATGCGCGACGGCGAGGGCGCGGCGTGGACAAAGGCTGCATCACCACGTCGTACACGTCCAAAAACGGCGGCATTGTCGTGTACGACGACGGTGATATTGAGGAAGAACTTCGCAACGAACGAGAAGCATATTACGCGTTACTGGAAATGCCAGAAGTTGATGACGACGACGATGCGAGTGATGATGGTTCTGAAGACGAACTGCAAACGGGATCGAAAAAGCGCAAGTCTTGGTCAGGTCGCGAAGATGATGAGGAGTCTGAAGGCGATGAGCCACCCCACCAACGGCGGAGGAGTAACTCGGTATGTACTCGCGGGCAGCTGTGGGAGTTCAAGATCTGACATACATAGCAGGGCTCTTCAATCACATCATCCCCCACGCGCCGGAAGAAGGGCGACATCAATTCGTCCAACTCGTCGCGATCTGCGACACCAACGAATGACTCTCTATCACCACCGGAAGCGAAGCAACCCTCGGCACGCTCATTAAAGAAAAAATTACTTAATTTAAAGAGAAGACACGACTCTGTTCTACAGGCCTACTACACCTCCGGAACATCTTACTCGGAACCAATCTCATCTTTGGTCTATTCACTGGCCTCGGAGCTCGGAAGAGATGATAACGACTTGCTTTGGCTCGCCATCGTTGGTGTGTCTAGTCTGGAACTCAGCGGCCGAACCATGACCGGTGTAGGCATTTCCAATACATCAGAATCTGGTGGCTCGGCCGGCTGGGGTGGCCAACGTGGTGAACACATTCGCCAAATACTTCGTGATGAAGTTCATCGACTGAACCCACCCGATCCTCTGGAGCAGAATCGCGACATTCGAGGGGAGATCAATGGAGTTATTCCAACGACTGCGAGATCACCAACTGATACCTCCATCCGCCTTTCACCAGAGCCTCGCTTTCTCCTTGTGCGACACTGGTCGCTATACGAGAGTATGCTTCACAGTCCCTATCTTGCTCCAAGATTGCATGTCTGGACAGAAAATGGCCGCAAGCGACTTCACAAACTTCTGGCCAAAATGGGCATCAGTTTGACCCAGTGCCACCAATATTATACCCACATGGACATGGAACTGAAGCGTGGGCTGCGAGGACGCTTGCTCAAATATGCCCCAATGTACGGGTTGGATGGACTTGTGCCGGCAGAAGGCACTTCAGGCGCAAGTGCCCGAGAAGGCTGGGGTTTCGTGCGCTGCTGGGGTTGGAAGGCTTGCCTTTCTGCAACTGACGTCGGTGTGATCGTCGGTGCTATGCTGGAAGTTGGCCCTCATGAAACTTCCTCTGCATGGGACCCTCACCGCTTGCCGCCAGCGCGCAACCCTAGCGACAACGAGAATGGACTTGCGGGCGAATCTGATCTGGCCAGTCTACTCCCCCGGTTCTGGAGTGCGTATGACGCCCTTTCATTAACGTCTGAGTCTCCCACAATTCTCCTTGAGTCGCTCCCTCTGGCTCAGCATCTACACCGGGCTATCCTTCGGACCGGTACCTCTCTCCTTTCTAAGCACCAGATCCGCCATCTTCGGGCATTCCGAATTGCTGTGGTAAAGGACGGACCGGATGTCAAGCTCTTCACCAATCCCGGTGCGTTGACGAAGTTAGCACTGTGGGTTGCAGAGGCAATTCGAGTCCAAGAGAAAGAGCGTGGTGACTCCGTTAAAATCGGCCGCAAGAGAGCAGCAGGAACTCCTCTTGTCCTTGCCGGTCTTGACGAAGATCGCGACCTCTATGTCGTCGTCGGCACCGGTGGTGGTGGAGGTGTTGTTGACTTTGCTGCCATGTCCAAGCGCCAAGAGGAGCGAAAGAAAAAGAAAGAGATCAAGGACAAGAAGCAAAAAGAGCGAGCAGAACGCCGATCCAAGAAGGCCGCCGAGCGCGCCGAGCGAGAGGAGGGAACTGGTGCCGAAGACGAAGAATCGGAGGATTCGGAGTCTTCGTCGGAGTCAGAATCCGAAGACGAGGAAGATCCCCGCGGAAAGAAGCATCTTCTCCGCAACCGTTTCGGCATTGCCTTCCAGGAGGTTGTCCAAGAGACGAATGCCCGAGTCCGCATCGACAGCTTCGAGCACTGTGTTGTCGAGGTCCAAAAGGACGACCTTGGTGGCTTCCTAGAAGCCCTGAGCTTCCGCAGTGTTGTGGGCTAGAACCCCTTCTACAATAATTCACGCAGTCTACGACCAGTCATCTTTGTTTTCGTTTGATGCATGGGATGGCCTTTGGGGGAAATTTATGGGAGAATACTGGGCTCTGGAAACGGCTCACCTTTGCATGGCTTCCGCGGGGGGCTTCTTTGCATTCGACTTACCCTCTTCGATGGTTTTACGGTGTTTGAGGCGACATGTGTTCTATCTAGTGCAGTCCATAGTTATCTTGGCATCGAATCTATGCATCTTCGGCCTTCTCTCCGAACCCCGACAGCTCCCCGCATATCCCCCCATCTCTAAATGCCCGACTTCGCGACACAAATTTCTTCTCTCAATTGACCAAGAATCTGCTGAACAACCATTGCCATGTCCCAGCCACGCGAATATCCCGTCCTCCCCCGCGAAAGCACCCTCGCCAGTCTCCCCGCGGAGTACCCAACCGACGCGCAAGACCAAATCACCCAAATCCTATCCACAGATCCAATCAACCGCCTCGTTGTACTAGACGATGATCCCACAGGCACCCAAACCTGCCATGACATCTCCGTCCTAGCAGTCTGGGACATCCCAACCCTAACCGCCGAGTTCCAAACCACAAAGCCAGGCTTCTTCATCCTCACGAACTCGCGTGCCCTCCCACCAAAAGAAGCAGAGAAGCTTATTCACGAGATCTGCACAAATGTCGCACAGGCTGCGAAAGCCACAAACCAAAAGGTCGATATCGTTCTCCGTGGCGATAGCACATTGCGCGGCCACTTCCCTCTTGAACCTGATGTCGCGCAGCAGGTCTTTGGTCCGGCTGATGCGCTGGTCTTGGCTCCGTTCTTCTTCCAGGGTGGTCGCTTCACAATTGATGATGTGCACTATGTCGCTGAGGGTGAGAACTTGGTACCTGCTGGCGCTACGCAGTTCGCGAAAGACGCGACTTTTGGTTATAAGAGCTCCAATCTAAGGGACTATGTTTTTGAGAAAGCAGTTGGGAGATTCACTGAGGATCAAGTCTGCTCTGTTACAATTGACGAGATCCGTACTGGTGGACCGCAGACTGTTTGTGAGAAACTACTTGCTGCGCCGAAGGGTGGAGTGGTTATTGTCAATGCTGCTGCAGAGTCTGATATGCATGTTTTCGTTGCTGGATTATTGCTCGGTATGTTTATGCAGAAGCTGCAATTCAATGGGTAGTTGCTGACGGACTTCTAGCCGAATCGCAGGGGAAACATTTCCTCTATCGCACTGGTGCTGCATTCGTCTCAACTAGACTCGGCGTCCGGTCGAAGGCGCCCATTTCCGCGGCTGAACTTCACCTGCCATCTCCCCGCCAGACTGGCGGGTTGATCATGGCAGGGTCATACGTTCCTAAAACCACTGCGCAGCTGAAGGTCCTGACAGATCGGCGAGGCAGCACGGGTCAGCTTGCCATCATTGAGATGAAAGTTGACGAGTTGATTGCATCGCCTGATACTGCACTGCAGGCTGTGCAACGTGTGGTCGAGGAGACGGAGTCATATTTGCGGTCTGGTAAGGACACGCTTGTTATGACGAGTCGGAAGCTTGTCACTGGGGGTGATGAGTTGTCGTTGCTTAAGATTGGCACTGCGGTTGCTGAGGCACTGGTTAGTGTTTTGCGACGCATCGAGGTGCAACCGCGTTTTATCATTGCCAAGGTAGGGCATCCTGTTCCTGGATTCCCGAAGGATCTGATGCTAATCATGGCTTTTAGGGTGGTATCACTTCTTCCGATGCGGCGACTAAAGGCTTGAATGTCAAGCGCGCTACTATCGTCGGTCAGGCGGCACCGGGTGTGCCTCTCTGGCGATGTGATGAAGAAACTAGTCGACACCGTGGTGTTCCATTTGTCGTGTTCCCTGGAAACGTGGGCGGAGAGGAAACCCTTTGTGAATTGGTGGAAGGTTGGAGTTAGGCGCCTTGTAATGTAGAATTTAGCTTGTCAATAAATGTCGGCAACATATACAACTGGGAGGAACTCATAACGTGACATATTATTGTATCTATCAGCTAATCATAAGAGATACTTTCAGATCATCGTGATTCATTCGTAAAAGCTACATCCTATTCCATCATTGCCACCAAAAGCTGATACTGACGCCAGCCCTCAGACCACGAACATAATGCCACCATCCGACGGGAATGTAAAGGCATTCACCTTCGTGGAGGACAGTCTCCACGTACTCGGCATCCAAGAACCCGGGCCACTTGGTTTCCCACTCATCGTATTCGGCCGGCGAGAACTCAATGGCTGCCAAGTCCACCTTGGAGGTGTTCGACGAGTCAATTGAATGACTGACCAATGGCTGGGCCCCAGTCACCGGGTCTGGCTCGGCTGTCTTGTCTACAGATGTGACCACCTCCGAGCCCCGGGGGTGGATCTGCGATGCAGGCGTGTGTGGTGAATACAAACGAATGTACTTTGTGCCGACAACCTGCGTGAAGATGTTGTGGTAGGGGTCATGGTGGAGGGGAGAGATAGTTGACGCAGGACCAATCCAAGTGTTGATCAACGGATCGCATGGAAGGCCCATGAGTGACTCTGTATCCGATGCATTTTCCTCTTCATCTTTAGTATCTTTTTGGTGATGCTTCGGGTCGGCGCATGATTCAGATGCCTGGATCTTCGATTGCGCTTCTTCAAGTGCGCGCTTTTTACTCTCGTATACCGGTGTTCCGGGCTCCGGTCCTGGAGGTGTAATGTAGCAATAATCCGGGACACTGATATCACTGCGCAAGCTGGGTATTTGCGAAAGCAAGTCATGTTGGGCCATGTAAGCTGTGTATGTGTCGTGATGGTCCTGGTCTTCGTCTTTCTGAGTTTGGTCGGGCACTTCATTACCATGCCAAAGATGTTTATCCACAAATTCCTTGAAGGGAACAATCTTTTGCCCCCAATCTTCATCGGTGTATGATCTCCCCGTCTCGATTGGCACCAGTCTGCGGCCGCCGAATGTGCGACCCCACCAATACTCGCGCGACGCCCATGAGCGCGTTGTCCTGGCGGGCCAGTGTTCAATTGCGTCGGTGATGACTAGTGGGGTGCGGATATCTTGGATATGATGCTCGATGGAATCGAATGATGGCGCCGACACCCGCGGAATCGGATGTTCAATGTGAGGGCTCGGGAACGCGTTCGGGGGGAATAGAGGAGGCGAGAGTTTTCTGCGCTTGGGTCGCGAGTCTTCTCTGTCGTTATCGCTATCGCCGTTTACAGCAGGCTTTGAAGGCGCTGTGGCTGACTGCAACGCAGCCAGTAAACATTCAATCAATTCCTCGCGGCGGGGGGCTCCAGTCATGATCTTGGCCATGTCCAGGGCCTCGACGACTTCTGAGATCCATGGTGCATTCAATCCGATCCGAGGGCAAGGCTGAGGCTTCTCGAGGTCTTCAATGAGTTGGGGCACATCGAGTTGCTGGTCGAATGAGACCGCGCTCAGGCGGCATTTGGTGATGATGATGACGCAGGCCTTGACGATAGACGCGTCAGTGTAGAGTCGCCGCCAGTGGTCCTTCACATCCTTGAAGGGGAAAACGTGTAATTTTTGGTGTGCGAGATCGAGAGCTTTCTGGGGGTGGTTGAAGAGGAAGTCCTGCAGGTCGATCTCACTGCATCGGAGAATGGGGTCGTCGGATTTTGGCTCGGCGATAAGGCCCAACGCGCAGGCGACGACCTCCAGCAGGCTCATGCCTGGGGAGAAAGAAAACAACTGAAAAGGACGACTTTAACGAGAGAATGTGTACATGGTGGGGAAGAGAAGAGAGATGTTCTAACCTTGGAAGTATTGCGGCCCAGAGTTCAAAAAAATCTGTAAGGCACCGCCATCTGAACAGTCCTTTAGATCCTTTTGATCATTCATTCCGGGATATTTGGGCTATAGTCGATATTCTAGTCATATCTTCCAGAGGAATATTATATATTGTACAGTATGTTCAGAGAGTTTCTAATATACATCACTCCAGAAGGTCCATCACCAGCTTCGGAATTCGAGAGACACCCTCGCCTTGTTTGGCACTGACGGGGACAGCGCACACTCGGTCTTTCCATCCCTTAGCGTGGCCAGATGGATGCTCAATTGACCCGTTCTGGACACCAGACAGATACTCTTGCAGAGCACGGTACTGGGACTGGGTGTTTTCCAAGTCTGCCTTGGTAGCCACGACAAACCAGGGCTTCATATGCACAGGAGGCATGGCCAGTGGAGGCAAAGATCCATCAGGGCTTGCATTGGGAGCTAGTCGGGCCGGCTCTTCGCTGTCGGGTTTCCATGGGCGTTCGTCATGCTCATTCTCCTCCGTGAATGGATTCCATTCGATGATCTTGTCTTCTTCCTCTGGGCCACAGTCAGGGTCTGTATCGCGGATTCGCTCATACTCCCCGAGCTCATGCCACAGTTTCTTCAGCTCTTCCACGGGGTTACCAACACTCAGGTCAACGACGAAGGCCAGAATCCCAGCCCGGTCGATGTGTCGCAGGAACCCGAGTCCAAGTCCTCGGTCCAGATGGGCATTCTCGACCAGACCGGGGATATCGGCGATAGTAAAGTGAGTGCGACGGGCCTTCGATTCCACGAGTGGGCGGCCCTTCATATCATCGGTGATCACAGTACCAATATGAGGGGAAAGAGTGGTGAACTCCCAGTTTCCAATGCGTGTCCGACTGTTCGTCAAGGAGCGCAGGAGCGTACTTTTGCCGGCGTTAGGCTTTCCAACTAGGCCGACATCCGCCAGAATTTTGAGCTCAAAGTCGAGCTCAAGCATCATGCCGCCTTCTCCACGAGATGCGAATTTAGGTCGTCCCATCGAGCGCGTGGAGAAGTGTGGATTTCCTAGACCGCCAGCACCACCGGCGGCTAAAAGCATGGGTTTGTCCATGGGTTTCGAGAGGTCAAGCCAAATAGGCGCCTTCGGCTCCATGGCTGCGATGTTTTGTCGGCGCGGGTTTAATTTCGGAAATTGCACCATCAGGAAATCAGATGGCTTGGAGGATGGGTGTAGCACCCAGCGGTCGTGTTGAATGGGATTGTACTCCGGCTCCTCTGGCTCTTCTAGCTCCTCATTATCGGCTTCGAGGTCATCGGGGTTACCCCAGACCTCCTTCTTCTCTTTGGCGAATTGAGCTGATTCCTTGGCTTCCTTGATGCGAGCCCATTGCTCCTCGACCGGGTCATAGCGGCTTACTTCTCGCACCACGGTGCCAACGGGAACTTGGATAAGTATGTCGTCGCCTCGTTTTCCACCTTTGCTTTTTCCCTGGCCATTTCGACCCCGGCTAGCTCTGATAATTCCTCGGCGTGCCAGTTTATGAAGACTGGTCAAGCCCTCCACGGTCTGGATATAGATTCCTCCACCGCTGCCACCATCGCCACCGCACGGGGGTCCCTCCTCAATGTATTTCTCACGGAGATATGCGACACAGCCATGGCCACCAGACCCGGCGTGCATTGTCACCCGGCATTTATCTTGGAAAATGAATCGAGAGTAGTCTTCGGGAGTAGGATCCAAATGCGACAGGTCTGGAGATGACTCGTCTGGTACGGCAGGATTGCTGGGCCTTAGCGGTGGGACATCGGCATTAGTGCTTTGAAATCGAGGCCTTGCGATACATGGTTTTCGTGCAAATTGCAAAAGCGCCGGGCTGCAACGTGCGCGCCTTGAAAGAAACGGTCGTGTCGATAGGGAAAAACAGGCTCGAGGGTGCGCCATATTGTGTGGATATCGGCTATCTCTCGCTCATAGTGCAGTGAGCAGCTTCCTGGCGTTCAATCAGATCAGTGGAATATGCAAAGCAGATATACCGGTTTTGAAGCAATGGCCGACGCAAAGTGATGACTTCAGCGGATTTCTCAGATAAGATCACATGGCGATAACGCGTCTATAGTGCACCCAGTCTGCACATTCTATTGGCCTCTCGACTACACTTGGGCAGCTCTGGAGTACATTTGTACCTCTGTACCTTTTAGTCCGGTGATCCCTGCTACGTCCTTGGAACGAATCTCCTCGTCTGACCTGTGCTTCAAGACGGACTTGTTTTGGTCATCCCTGTGAGGAACAAACAAGCCGATCCAGCTGCATCCTACCGTATGATTGCCACCTCATATCACCCGAATTAATCTGTCAAATCTGTAGTACGGAGTAGAATAACGGACTTCCACGTATGCAAAGGGCCACTACAGCTACCCTTGCACATCTGCAAGCTGCCGCTGTGACTCCCCGGCTGATCCCTGCGAGGCGACCAATGAGCAAATACATTGGAACAATATCGTAATGAAAGACTGATTGTTTGGTTTCGGTCTAACATGCTAGTCCTTTGTTGGTTTTGCATCGAGTCGCCAATACAAGAGCGATTCATTTGGTTTGTAGCACTTTGTAGGTACTCGGGTATTGATGTTGGACGGCGCGACCAAAATATGTTTCGTCGATGACCAAATCCTCACTCAAATAATACCAAATTGCCACATTTTCTGTGAGCTCAAATGCATGCAAATCAATTACTAGGTAAATTGTTCCTCTAGGCATATTGACTGGAATCATGGATCGACGCATCATACCTAGTAGGCTTCACCCAAGAACCTTGGTATCTCCACAAATGCATGGATCAGAATGACCACATAGCACCATGTCTTCACAGCTCCCTTTCTTTCTTTCTCTACATACATAGCTAGTACCTAGGTGTAGGTGTCGATGCTCAACATGGAATCCCACTCCAAGCAGTCTGTTCGTACTCCCGTGGCAAAGCCAGAGCAAAGCTATTCTGAGCGTAAAGAAGCCTTTGCCCGAGAGTCGCAGACATTCCTAACAGACCTCGAGAACAGCGAGGGATACAAAGAGGCCACTCTCAGACTCAAGAACGATCCACCCCGCAGGTTGAACAATGGCCAAGAATCGGCAGTTCCATCGACAGGCCATTCGAAGAAGATCCGTCGCTTGAACCCTCCCAAGCTCCCCGTCCAGGATCAGAGCGAGACTCTACACGCGGAGATCAAAACCGTTGCTGAAAAGCTGAAAGACTTGGAACATCACCTTTATTCCTATCATGAGCTCACTTTCAACACGTATCCCAACCACATGCGAGTGGAGTTGCAGCGGCTCGAAGAGGAATCCTCCAGTAAATCTGCTCGCTTTCAAGATATGGTGGAGGGGGATTTGGCGGATATCAGAGACTTTGTTCGAGGAAGTATTGCTCTCCTCAAGGAACGTGTCGACAAGCATGAGGAATTGCTCCAGATCAGCAACCATCAAATGAAACTGCAACATGAAATCACCCAGTGCTTGTTCGAGGCACAGTACACGGTTGCTCGGCAATTATCCTACCTAGGCGAGATTTACGTCCCTGCACGAAGCTCTGAATCGGCGTGGTCTTCACAATGGGAAGAGCAGCAACCAGAGCAGCAGTCGGAGAAGGACGCTGAAATGCCCGAAGAATCCACCGAGACCGAGGTTGAAAACAGGAGCGATACTTTGGAGTATGTCGTTCTAGACAGTGAGGAGGAGGATGATCCCCATCCTCCATACCAGTCTTCGCCCGCGCCATAGGTCTGCTGTGTTACTCGCAGCTACTCGCTTAATATTTTGGCTTTGGGATTATATGGCTGGAGTACGGAGCTATGTCGCTACTCAAACTTCGCTTCCTTGTTTTGTTGTTATTTTTACTGGGGGGCCCCCAGAGCACCTTTCAAGTTCTACTGATGAGGTATGTTTTACTTTTGCCTAGCCCTCGCTTCCAAGTTTTGATTGAATGAAATGATCTGGGATTCAAACAACATAATGGCTTGGACCATAGCTTTTGACTACCTGGTTGGTCGATGGACACTCTCTCCAAAAGAGATCCTCCAACCGCGGACACTTGAAATGTCCCTGTTTCACCTTGAGATATTGTAGACATCCTTTGAGCACCCGTACCAGCTGTTGTTTTTGATGTTATGAAAAGCCCACGGCAGTATTTGGTAAACGAGCCATGTATGAATTGGAGACACCAGCGCCCAATACTGCCCACCCGGGCAGGTGTGCAATGGTCTTTGGCATACCCAAATGAGTTGCCGTTATGATTCTGTCAGGCGGCCTAAGAGATAAGACGTTCAAGCAAGCTGACCCATTGAATCATGTTACGCAGCCCACGGGGTCTCTCTATGAGATTGGTTTTGATGTGACTACCCTGACTACGCTGACAGACGGAGCATCCAAACTGAGGTTGACGATTTCAGCTCCACGGTGGAATACATGTTCTGTATGGAGTACGGAGTACATCCAGTTGGTATAGTACTTGCCTCCCGAGATCTCGGGATCCAGATATCTTCACACGCCTTAAGTTGCCTCATTCGTGTGCCGGAGAACACGAAGTACCTGTCAATTATTGATTGCGTGTCACGATACCCAAGCTTGCATGGCTCCATGGATGTTTACTTGGACGGAGTGCGAGTATCCGAGCAAGATGAATAGGATCCCGAATGGAGTAGTCCATCCTGGAGCCTCCGAGGTGAGGTATCAGGTGTACTTGGAATGCCGGTTTGAAATACTATATGGAATTCCAGGTCAGCCCGTGCTACCGGGAAGTAAACTCTGGTTAAACATCTGCAGCGTCAACTGATCTGTGTATCCCGAATCTTTGTGCTGCTCCGTACCATCGATGTATCATAGAAGATACAGCGATCTCTGGTGATTGGTCTACGGGCCCTGCCTGTATGCCAGGTTCATCACCGCGAATCTGTGACCCGCTGTCACAAAAGGAAATAAAACCCTGTCAGGAAGGCGATCAAGTCTTAGCTTCGGCACGGCAAAAGTACAAGGGGACGAGCTCCGTACTTTTGCCGGGAGTCTGGGCTGGTGAGGGTTCATGCAGGCTCTCTATCTGAAGATCGGTGGCGGTACTTTGTGGACATTGCCTTGGGTAAAGTTGACGAGGGCTGTGGGTGTTCATGCATGCATACAGCTCGGTATGTACGGAGTATTTGGAGCTTGTTCCTGTTTCATTGGACGACGCCGGCGGGATTGACTTCCTAGATCTGACCCAAGGTGTTGGAGCCTCGTATCTGACTCCAGTACTCCGTCCAGGTACATATCCGTAGTAGCCAGCATACGCCACAGTGGCGCGACTATTTACAGAGCTGAAGCGTTATCTGTCGCGGCAAGGGAACTGTAGTGTATTTTCGTACTCCACCTGGGCCACTTCGACAATGAATCACAATCATGTCTACTCCGTAGGTAGTGCTCGACGGGATTCTACTGTACAGTAAGGAATATGCACGTGATTTCCCTAATAACCAAATCTCGATCGCATCTGGGGTCGAAAGAAAAAAGTACTCGACAATGGTACAGGTCAAAAGTCCAAAGAACCATCCAGTGTTCACATGACCCGACGCGGAATCGATAGCGCGGAAAATCCTTGCGGATCCGGAACTTTTGTTTCGTACCCGTCACCGCGGCACCGGATTACCTTCCGCTGAAACTCCTTTCCAAAAATACGAATCAATATGATACACACAAATACTCCATACAGAAGACTCCACTTCGTTAACGGGAACTGAGCCGTACTTTCGATTCCATGGTTAGAAGCCGATAATCCTCTCTGATTCGTCCGCGGAATTCCCGTTCAGCTGCCGTACCAGCGCCAGAAGTCGCCTCTCTTTGGGACCTAAAAGGGAATGACATGCAAGGGCTATGCCGAGTTCGGATCATGCATGGGTATCCGGGTTGGATTGCCGATTTCCAACTTCAATCTTCCGAGGTCCAGATCGGGGTTTCGAGTTTTGACTAATCAGACAGGGAGTCTCATGTCATTTGAGCTATTGGGCGACGCGAGTTATCCAGTGCACAAAGAAGCCTCAGTACTCCGTACTCCGTACGGAGTAGGCCCCACCAGTCTAGACAGTGGCAAAACGTTGGATTTAGACCTTACCCTCCGTACGGAGTACTCCGGAGGATCGCCAAACTAAGGTGCTTCAAAGCAATGTGTAACACGGGGTATTCGGGGCAGCGTGTTCACGCAATTGACTTCCAACCTATTTGGGTTACTCGATCGATCGGCCTAAATCGCAGTTACGTATGTCGTGTCAAAGTACGGAGTACAAAGTGCACAGAATACACATCGCAAAGACGGCACGGATGGTGGCGCTTTATTGGGACAGCACGAAATCGAGGGGAGAATATTTGACTATGCAGGTGTCCTCCGTACTAGTGCCATCGAGATCGCGAGGAGCCTGAGAACATTGGCCGATCTGCAATGCGCCGCATGTTATGTGAATGCGAGGATGCAGTGATCTCTCCACATCTTTTTGCTTTTTTGGCCCATTGACAGGATCGCGGGGGAGATCGAGGTGCCGGACGGAGTACGGAGTACACCGCAATGACCGCGAAAGTCGATAGATCACACCTGAGTTTTTTTGTGACCGGCAGAGACCAGTCTGAGAGCGTGTCCCGCCCCTGGAATTTGTCCCGACTTCCCCTAGCTCAGAGGCTAGGCCTGGACAGCCTATACGACAGGATCTGTTTTCCGTCGTACTTTGTGCTGGGCCTGGGGACCGGATCGCGAGGACGCTTGCCCGCATTCGGACCTGATGCGACTGCCAGAACCCGACAATACGGTGCGGCAGCTGGGTCGATCACCGAGCCTAACAGACGGATCTCTTAGCGTTTCCCCAAAAATCACATAGGCTCGTGATAGATCGATCTGGACACTTCGCGGTGCAGTCGCGTGGGTACTTCGTAGG